GGGGGGGGGGGGGGGGGGGGGGGGGGGGTACTCATGTAAACGCATGCCGTAAGACCAATGACCTCACATCCCTACCATGCCCGGACGGAGCGATATGCCGGGGGGGTGAAGGGGTTTCTTTTCTGGTGTGTACGAGAGTGATCAAAAACAGCTTCTGGAAAATTTGGCTTCTGTCGTGTATGTCTGGGAGGCCGTCAAAAGTCGCACAGATACATCTCCATTTGGAGTATCCGCTTGCAGACGGAAAAGAGAAATAACACGATCGGACACGAAACGAAGGGGAGGGGGGGGGGGGGTACTATTCCCGGCCGCGAGAAGGCATCACGTAGCCAATATAAAGTACTTCCAAGTCAGTAAAGTGACGTACAGAATAGACGCACGTACAATCCCATTGTACACCAATGGACGCTTCAAGGACACAATCGCCCCACAAAAAATAAACACACACACACACACACGCACACGCAAAAAAAAAAAAAACGCGACGGAGCACACACCTTCTGATGGGCCATTTGGATTAGCTGCCGTTGCTGGTAGTGGTGGGCGTGCGAAGCGTGCATGTTGTGGATCGCCTTCCCGAGCTCCATAAGCCCGGACAGACGCACTTGAAGGGTGGGGCCCTTGAGGTACTCGAGGCACAGGCCGTACCTCGTCTTCATCACGGCCCTCTTGTAGCCGATCGGCAGCTTCGTCGGTATGCGGTCTATCAGGAAGCTATCCCCCCCGGGACAGAGCGTACGCCGAAATAACAAACAACACACACGCGAACACGCTTACGCTGGTAAGACAATTGGCGGCGCATCATAAAAGAACCAAACACACATATTGTACCTGCCGGCACAGACGTCTTTTCATTGGGCAGCTGGTTAGCGCGGTCGATGCTAATCAACAATATACAACACACACATGTTTGCGTTATATATTCCGCGAAAAGACTGACATAATTTCATTGGTCAGCCGGCTGGCGTGGTCGATGCCAATCAACAAAAACACGTACACACACACATACACGGACAGTGGACCATGGTCGCCCGGTCTCCTCGCCAACCCCCCTGTGAGGGGAGCCGCGGACTACAAAGCGGACCTGCGTGTTTTGACCCGCGAATAGACTGACGCCTTTTCATTGGTCAGCCGGCTGCCGCCGTTCGATGCGAATCAAAGAAAAGCACACGCACGCGTGCGCGCACGGGCGACCAGTCGATACAGAAAGAACAAAACAGAAAAGTAAATCTACTCTGTGCGAGGCGGGCAAGCGAAACCCCTCTTCAGCAAGAAGAAACAACGACCTCTTGGCTTCGAGAGCGTGAACGCAAAAACGACCCGAGAAAGTCACAGTGAACAAGGCCGGCAGTCTCCAACCACTCGGCCCCATATCTCGAGAGCGAACGACATTCAAGGCGGGTTCTCTCTGCCTCTCTCTCTACTTGGCAACCACATCTCAAACGCCGAACGTTTCCCGTTACACACACACACCTGATGACGTCCATGGCGCTGAACAGCGCCGCCCTGTTCTCCGGAGACCGCTTTAGGTCGTCGCTCGACACGCCCGCAACGTACGCCCGCACATTGGTCAGGGTCGCGTTGAGGATCTTGAGCGCCGTTGCGTCCGACACCACCTCGGCAACCATGCACAGGATCTCAACGAGGCCGCGCACGAAGGTAGCCTTGGGCGGAGGTTTCGCCGTCAGGCGAGCCTCGAACTTCTCCACGCCGCCGATGCAGAGGAACCAGTTCAGGCTGGACAGGTAGTGGGGGCAGGTCTCGCCGTAGCAGTCCTCGAACAGCTGCTTCACCTTCTGGAGGTCGAGCAGCGGCTGCATCATCTTGCTCTCCCAGCTCCGCTCGCTGAGGTTGCCGTCGTCGTCATCGTCGTCGTCGTCGTCCTCCTCCTCCTCGTCGTCCGCCGAAATTACGGGGTCACCACCACCGCCGCCGCCGCCGCCGCCGCCCTCTTCCTCCTTGGTCGGAGACGCGCGTCCAGCGACTTGTCGACTCTGCTGCCCTGTAACACCCTCTGCAGCAGCACCAGCAGCAGCCGTCAGTCCATCATCACCGCCGCCCCCCTCCGTCGCAGCCTCCGGTGGCCCAGCGGCCGCCGCCGCTGCCGCCGCCGCCGCCGCCACCGTTCTCATGGCCTCCGCCTGCTCCGACTCCCGCAGGGCCTTCGTGAGCCGCTCCTGGTAACCCTCGTCCTCCGAGTCATCCTCCAGCTCATCGTCAAGCTCGTCGTCATCTTCTTCATCGTCGTCTTCGTCGTCAGGGTCCCCGCTATCGTCGTCGCAGTGCAACCCGGCCGAGAGCGCCGCCGCGCCGCCGCGGCCGCCCCCTGGGACGAACGCCCCGACCCTGCTGCCCCCGACCGACCTGCGCGCCGCCCTGCGTCTAACAGGCGAAACGCCCACCGGCATACAGGCCGGGGGCTCCTGAGCAGTTGCTGCAGCTGCTGCTGCGGCAGGACTACTTTGGCCCCCCTCATCGCCTTCTCGCAGCGTGACCTCTGTATCGTTCCCTTCCGGTGCCTGGTTTGCTGGGCCCGCCGCCGTCGCGGGTTGCGCCGTATTTACAGCTTCGGGCTCCCCGCTCCTCCCGCCCGTGACTACCTCGCGCCTGTGATCGGGTCCTGCATCCTCCTGGCGTACCGCTGCCGCCGGCGTGCAATCGTCCGTTCTCGTGCCTATCGCAGGAGGCGGGGCCCGCCTAGCAACCGTTGGCACCCCCACCGAAGGGCCGAGACGCTCCCCCCCGCCGCTCATATCCCCGTGGCCAACCGCAGCGGCGGGAGCGGCAGCAGCACGACGGCCATCATGCTCTGCCCCGGCCGCGGCATTCTCAACGTGCGCGCCGTCGCCATTCCGCTGTCTCCGAACTGCCGTGTCATCGCGTTCGTCTGACGCCGCCTCCCGCTCCACGCTCCCTTCCGGCTTCTTCCTGCCTTGCTCGCAAGCACCAGCAGGCATCGCCGCCGCCGCCGCCGCCGCCTCATCCCCCGAGCCGGAGGAAGAGCTGCAGCTATCCCCGACAACCTTTTCCCCCGTCGCTGCCGTGCTCGCTGCTACTGCTGGGGCCGCTCGAGGCCCGATCAGATCATCCTCGGAGTCGTCGTGCATCATCGCGTTGCCGTCGTCATCGCGTAGCGGCGGCGGGGAGCCGTCCCCTCCGGCCGGGCCGCCGCCGGCGGAGGGGGCCCCGCCAGTACAGTCGCTGCCCCCCCCCCCGCGCTTACCGCCGCGTGCCTCCTGCTCCTCGAGAGCCCTCGCCGCCGCAAGCTGCCTCCGCCTCTGCCTGTAGTATTCCCGGTACAGAGACGGGGCCCCCTGGATCTCGAACAGTGTCCCCCCGGCGCCCGCACTCTGCCTGTTGTGTGCGTGTACAGAGAGAGATAAGAGGATGGAGCGAGAGACAGAGAATGACAGAGATGGAGGGGGAGAGGGGGAGGGGGAGAAATGGTGCAACCAGGGACAACTATGAAAGCAAAGGACAAGACAAATGATCATAATCTAGGCACGAGCCTCGAATCGTCCGTGTACCAGCCGCTTGCCATGCAATCAGGCGGACCGGGTGTGTCACCGCGCAACCGGGCCGTGAGCATCGAGGTTTGCATACAATTTCGTTGTCTAACTCAATCTCACCTACTCCTTGCGGTTGTCTGTTCTCTCTCGTTCACCCACGCTGGTAGCGAGAAAAAAAAGCAGAAACTTCTACGTCGCACTAGTTACACCCAGCACGACCTCCAGCCTTCCGACACAACTGCCGCCGCCACTAAACCGCTGCCCCTGCCGCTGCTACTGCTGCTGCTGCTACTCACGCTAAATTGCATCAACAACCCTCACTCACATGTTGTTGACGTAGAAGTCATACGGGCCATTCGTCCGCGGTCGAAGGCGGTGGTTCTGCGTAGCCTGCGGGCGGAAGAGGAGGACGGGCCGGAGGGCCTCCAGAAGAGCCTCGTTATCCTGGTGCGCAGCAGAGCACGAAACATGTCGGCGCGTAGTTCTGAGAACAGGACCGCAGCTGGGTGCACAAGAAAACCTCGTGCCAACAGACTGGCCACCAGGAACCCTACGCTTCTGCTTGCGCTGGGACAGACAACTTCAGCAAGTGCTTGAATGGGGCGAGATCGTTCAACTGTCCCACAGGATTTTGTTGGCAATGGGGGGAGCCACCACTGCCTACCCCGGAAATAATTCAGGGGAGGTCTTCCGAAAACGCTGGGATGCAGATGCCCTCATGGAAAACCAGCAAAAGAAGGATGGCCCCACTTACTACGAAACAAAACAGCGTTGCTCAACTACTTCGTAAAGTCGCACAGTTCCTTCCGTGAGAAATGGCACCAAAACGTGCTTACGTACAAAGCGAATATAGAATGCCAAAGGGGCTGCAGAACCCCGCCTTCTTTGCACGCCACGTACGATACCGTGTCAAACAAGTACATCGGCGGGACAGCTGCTGCTGCTGCTGCTGCTGCTGCTGCTGCCGAGGGCATGCTTCCCAAAAGTAAAGCTTAAGCGGCCACAACAGCATGCAGTGGTGGTCCCGATATACCGTACCGCGGTCCCGAATAGTGCAGGTCCCGATACCCCACGGTAACCACGGGGTTCGGCTACCGTTTCATATTCCCCAACAGTCAATCGTGCGGTGTCCCGAATTTACCGCGCTTTTTTTTCCTATGGAATATCGGCACCACGACTGCTACTGTACAAACACACCATTTCGAGGGTGGCGAGGAAGAACTGGATGCAGTGCATCAGGAACACTTGTGCGGGGTTGTCCTTCTCCAGGTCAGACCTTCCCATCACCGCCGTGACCGCACTGGCACCACCGAGGGGGACAACACACACGGCAGAGAGGTCGGGACGGTTTTCAATGTCAAGACAACAACAACAACAACACAGCGACGACTATGGAGCATCAGAGCAACGCGTCAACATGGGGCGAGTTTCGGGTACTACAAGCGCGGCAACGAACCTCTGTGTGGCAATCAGTGCTTCCGACATGAGGAAAAACACGTTCGGAGAGACAACGCCACAAAACGAGAACGAGAACGACCATAGCGCATCAGAGCAACGTGCCAACATGGGGCGAGGTTCGGGTACTGGAAGCGTGCCAACGAAATCTCCGCGTGCCCAATGGTAGTCCGAGGCAGGAGGCCCGTTGGTCTAGAGATGACGAACTGAAAACGACCCCCCCCCCCCCCCCCCTCTTCCGCCGCTCCTTCCAACCTGAGTTGTAGCCCCGAATCAAACGGGGATGCCGAGACCAAGCGGATGATATGTCTTTTCGGGAAGGTACGAGTGGAAGAGGCGTTGCTTCTCGCCGTGGATATCAAACCGTTTAGGATTGTTCCACGACAGACATACTTAACGGGGGCACTTAAAAGTCAAAGATTGTACGCATAGTACGTGGGTTCTCATGCCGTATTGCGGGCATCGATTTTGAGACCTTTCGGCGTTTTATTTCGCGCACCAGCCGCGGCAACATAAAAGGAAAGCCACAGGCTTTTATTTGTGCTCCTTTGTCTCTCACCTTCCTCCTGCGATGCTTGCCTCAATTATTCACACAATGCTCAACTTACAGCAGTCTGCGAACGCCATGCGGCATCATTTTTGAACCGTTTCCTCAGTAGGAATGCGTCGAAGATTCTGTCGAAACAGGGTGCTGGGCAAGGTATGTACCAACGGTAAATGATTTTTCCTGACAATGTTCAATTTACGCCAATCTACACGGAGAAGGTTGTAGCCACCCGCTTTGGTATATTCAAGGTTGAAGTAATTCTCATTCATCTTAGTAGAAAATCAACATGGATATGCATACAACGGCAGCAGTGGGATCGTGCCAAACATACGCTTAGCACATCACAATTCGGAGTGGAAACCTACAATGGGACGGAGGCGATGGTACGCTTCTGCATGAGGGACTTCTGCAAAATACTCTCTATCTGTGGAAGAGATTAATATGTTGTGTTTTTGCAACAACAATACAAAAAAAGGAAACCAAACCCCAAGGGATACCACGACAGCGCGCACGAAAAAACACAGCAGTAAGTAAGCCGGCGAATCAAGCCGCAACATGGAGATGTAGAGTGTCTCGTTTTGGGCGGCACTAATTTATGCCCGTTTCTGCCGTCTCGTGTGGGAGCTCTTCGATCGTCTTCACGTCCACGCGAAAAACCTAGTAGACTTCGCGAGGATATGATTAATCTTGGTTTTAGTAGGGGGTACTGTTAGGGTTAGGGATAGGGAACCTCCCTCTATATACATTCATACCGGTAGATCAAAAATAGGTCCGAAGAACCACACCGGTGTAACCGATGCAGTAGTCTTTACAAGTGTGTGTGTGTGTGTGTCTTTATTATTAGCATCGACCGCGCTAACCGCCTGACCAATGTGTGCGTGTGTTTGTTCGTCCCATCTATTCTGGCGCCGGTTTTGCAAGCCTTTCGGCGTACAGTATACACGCCTGACGTATCAGCCGGGGTCACACAGGAGCTTTTTTCATTTTCTTTTTGGTTTTCTTGCCCCCCTCTTCCGCCTGCGGTGCTTGCCTTAGTGTTTATATCGCGCAAACTCTCCAGCTATCCCTTTCCCTCGTCGACTCGACCCATAGGCGCAAAAAAACACATACGATTCGTGTGTTGGGAAGTTTTTAATGTTCAGCTTTGGGGACGCAACAAGGGCTGGATTTAAAGAGGGGGTCCCCATCTAGTGCCGGTTGAATAGTGCTAACGCCCGGCATGGTGCCGGTGTTTTCGGCGGGTACACAATTTTTTCCAAGTCATTGTAAGTACTACTTTGAATAGAGCCGGTCCGGTGTACTGCTGTAGTCCCGGTGAGTTTTCTGGGCACAGATGCATACCGACACTAAACAGGCACCCCCCCGTCCTGGAGCTGTATAGCTTACGGTGGGGTGCATAAGATACCCCAAATAACCCATTGGCCGCGTTTCGAAGCTCGACTGCTCAGCAGTAACGATAACGGGGGCGTGGGAACAGCCTCGTCCACAGATTTCCGAAAACGCATCAGTTGACTTCGGCACCCTCTTTGGGGGTCGCGGAACATTCCAGCTGCGTAAAAATGGTCGAGGGGGTGTGGTATCTTACGCAACCTACGGCCGAAACAACTTCAAGAAATCCGCGAGTGTAGCGGACGTCCACCGACCAAAGCAAACCAAACAGTGTGCGGGTTCAGGCATACCCGTCTCTGTGTGCAATTTGGGCGAGCCCAGAGGGAGCGGGGGTATTTGCGACGGCACCCGCTGAGAGTTGTCACCCGACATGTCGCACACGTAGGTATGTCATCTTGCTGTTCCAGGAGAGGTCACATGCCGTACTCCTTCAAAATGCCGAGGTTGTACTCCGAAGTTTCATGTCTCCGCAACAGGGAGGTAAGGCGTTTACGTGTTTCTTTATCCAGCATCGACCACGCTGGACGATGAAAGGATGCAATTGAAAGGATGTCTGCGGTGACACGGCGGTGTGTGGCCTAGCAAGATGCCACTATTTGCAAGCAAAAGTGTGTCCTGCAGGTACATCACAATACTCATGGTATGCAACCAGGTGAAGCGGGAGTTCTTCTCTCGACTAAAGTACAGATTTGGCTCTAAACAAGAGCGGTGCCTTGTTTTGCACATGTCGCGCGCGTGAAATTCAATGCGGATTCAACGTATCTCATCAAGAAGGGCAAAGGGGGGGTAAAAAGGATTCGAGGAGGGGGCTCGGATAAGACTGGATGACGCAGCCGCTGCGGTTTGCCAAAGGCAGCCATCGCCGGTGTCCGCAAAGCCTACTCTGCGAATTTGAACATCGCACCGCACCCTTCTCTCAAGACCTCCAAGACCTTCCTGATTGAAACCACTATTGCCATGGAGGGAGCCAGAAACAACAGCACTGCCCTGCTGCTGTGCGCAGCAGCCCAGTCCCGCACAGCAGACAAAGCACACCACGCACGGAGCTAGTTAATCCCTTGCTATCTGAGGCAAGCGGAGACAGGACTCACCACGGTAGAGTATGCGTCGCGAAATGATGCCGAGCCCTCTCGTTGTCGGCACTGCTGTTGAAGGTCGAGGCTACCATCGCCGCCTGGATTCGGTCGATGATGGGGAGGAGCTGCTGCATCCGGCCGACGGACATCAGGTGCAGCCACCGATCATCATCGAAGATCGTCATATTCATCCTCTCCGCCCTGTTCTCGTTCTTTGACCCAAGGCGGCGGGGGAAAATCCAACGGGACACAGGCGGACAGCGTCGAGCAAAAAGGTCCTTGGACTCTGCCTCGTTTTTGAACGCCGTCCGTATCTCTCTCCTCCGTTGCCGTCCACACCGCTGCTGCTGTCACTCACAGCCCGAAACGAGCGCCACACGCCAGGGCCATCTAGAAGTAACCTCTCCCTGCGCCCGCGCAGCGCACATACACAAATAGCCCCTACACCCCAACACCTTTTCTCTGCGCCCTCTCCTCCTCGCTCTATTTTTTGGCTGGGGCGCGCGCGCCAGCCGTACACCGTAAAGAGGAACATCTCTACCAACACCCCGCCCACCCCGTCACCCATTCTACGGAGCCGCGCCCACAACATCCAAAAACAAATGCATGCACCATCACCACACACACCAGCGCAAAGTATTGTAGTACACAAGGCCCTCCTCGGGACGGTGGTATCGGGGCTCCTTGGGGCGACAGATGGCACGCCGAACGTTTTCTCATGGATTCGTCTATCTTGTTCATGATCCTGCGCTGCTATCTTGCCGGCGCCACAACATTAGGTCGAGTTCGTGATTTTTTACCCGTCAAACGAGGTATCCAAATCCTGGAACACAAGATATCTTGCATAAAACACCAGTTTCCAGTTTCGTTCGTCGCCACCGTCGAGCAAGACTACCATTTACATAGATAGAGGGTGTAGCGTAGGATCCACCGCGTTCTCTCTCTCTCTCTCTCTCTCTCTCTCTCTCTCTCTCTCTCTCTCTCTCTCTCTATCCTAGGTGTAGATGATTTGAAAACACCACCAAGTAGTGGCGCGAGAGCGCAAAGACTCCGAAGAACAACATCATGATGGTGGACGAAAAACGAACAAGGCCGCGTCTGTGCGGAGATGAACTTTCGGTGTTCTCTTGTCTGCCGTGGCTATCACGGTGTGTGCCGCGGCTGCGAAAGGTAGGCGAAGAACGCTGCTGGCGGTGTTTGTTGGAGGTTGATTGAAGCAACCCAGCGATCTGTCTCTGTGTATGCAGGGAGCATGAATGCAGAACGATAATCTATACCAATAATGGAGACCAACAACACGAAGTCTCGTTCGATGGCCCGTTCCGGTGGAACTGAATGTGAATCCGATTTGTATGTCGCAGCTTGCCTCGGGCAACCGTACTGGTCCCCTACGAGTTTTTCTTTCTAAGGTGATAATTCGTTCATGTCAGCAAGTGGATGCGAGGCGCAATCTCCGAATGGGCAACATAATGAGCAGGGAGATTGGTTGTATGTGTCATTGCATGCAGTCGTATGTCGTTTTGGGAGAAGGAGGCATGTTCGAAACAAGCATGCGGACTTTCTTGTCCATCGTTGGCGTCGTCGTTTCAGTTATTGGGGGCGAAGCACGAACCGAATACGGGTTGGAAAACTTTGATGGATGTCAACATTTTTTTTCGGGTTTACCTCACCCGGCATACAGAGCAGGTCCCCGCGACTTTTGGTGTCGAGCAAATGTGCCACGGATGACCAACACGCTTCTCCGGCTTGCATGCGAGGCGTTCATGTGCCGACGAGCCTCCTGCATGCTCCTCAGAAAGAAGCGTGAGAAAATATTCCTGTGAAAGAAAGACGAATGTACACCGAAGCAACACACACATCAACAAGAAACAGTCTAACGCTTGGCACCCGGAGCATGGGGAACAAATGGTACACCGGTCCGACCAACAGCGACCCGGGGAGAAGCTTGCACGTAAGAGAGACATTCCACAGACACTAACGATACACGCCGTCGAACCCCGACTAGGCTGAACGGTTCTCGGCGCGCGCGGCGCCATGGTTTCAGTAAGTAAGTTGTTGGATTCGTGAGGCAGTAACCCGTTCCCCGGCCTGGCGTCGAAGAGCACGCATGTGTATACAAAGAAACTTTGGGTAGGCCCACCAGCCGGGGGGGCAGGAGGTCTCATCGTACTTACATCAAGTGATCGACAACGGTGTCACGAGTACAACAGGAAAATTTGTCAGTCCTGATAATGCCTCATGGACTCGACCCTAGCAAAATAATCTGCGACACCTCTATCACAATCGGCCTAGCCCCGATGGGTTCCCAGCTGAGTGTAAGTTCTGAGGGCGGAAAGTGTTAAGGCAGATCCGTCATCTGCCTTTTACCATTTTCCGTACACCTTCACAGTAATCTGTGGCCAGTCACGCTCGTTTTTTCACTGGAATAGGCGCAGAAGATGGAGGCACAGCTGACCTCCATGACTTCGTTGATCCCTGCCAATACCGAGCAATTGATATTTTCAATAATGGCCCACAAGGGTAAACCCCCCCCCGAAAAGGCCGGTCTGTCAAGTGAAGAAACCCGACGAGTTCGACCCATCCGTGACAATACCCACTGGAACAGCTCTTAAACACACCGTGATAATATCCACTGGAGGTCATTGAGTTCTTATCCACAACCAACGACTATCCCAGATGCCACCCGTCGCTACGGCTTGGTCTCCCGGAGATAATATGTCGCGACGCCGATCTAGGACGGGGCGGTGGTGATTTCGGACGCTGCCCATCTCCGGTTCTGCTACCATTGCTGCTGCTTTGTTCAATGGGAGGCAAGTGTAGCCGAGGCTCGTCGACATCGCCGCCTTGGCTGGCTGCAGCGGCTGACGCTTTTTTCTGCTCCTCTGCTTCGGCGGCGTCTTCCGCAGCATCAATCGCGGCGTTGTAGGAGTAGTACGTGTTCACGCGACCGATGATCCCCTGAGTTTGGAAATTATACCAAGAGACGAAATGCCGACAACAACGCGAAGAGAGGAGCATGTCGTCTACAATGTTGTTTTTCGTGTCATAGAAAATGCATCCATACCCTACCGGCAGCATTCCTCAAAGTGATACTTGCAAATGCACAGCGGAGGGTGACGAGGAGCCGAAAAAATCGGATTGCTGCCAAAGGTTAGATAGCTCAACTAACCATAGCTTCCCTGTGGTTTCGCTCTGCGTTTTTACCACCTAATTTCATCCTCAAGGGGGGGGGCATGCTGCGTGATAGTCTACAACTAATCTTGCAGCTGTAGAAAACGTGCAGTGCATCTAGAAGAATGGGAGAGTCATGGGAGGAAATGAAATTGGAGAGGGTGAGAGAATGGCTGCGAGAGGGGAAGACAGAGAGAGGGGGGCCGTTGTTCGGTGGTACGCTAGGCCAAGTGGCCGTACGAAACGTGAATAAGACTCCCATTTGCGAATGTGCGTGATAAAGACAAACGGTGCAATATCCCGCCATTTTACACGACGGAAAACGATGGTCGATTCTTGAAGAGTGAGGTTATTTGTGCTCGCGCGTTAATTATTCTTTCCAAAGCTACGAGATCGAAGAGACGAAGCAATACAGGGTAGATATCTTGTCAATTTTGTGGGCTTTCTACTCCATACATCAACACGTTCCATAGCATAGGAACGAATCATGTATTTGCATAGAAAGTTCTATTGCATAGGAATGTTTCATGTGTAGACAGCTAACGAACAAAAAGTTGTCGGTACTACCGACGGAGACCATTCCCAACTCACCTTCTTCGGTACGGACGTCCCAATCGCGTCGCGCGCGATTTCTTTGGCGAGAAGCGCTACCATAGCTCCCAGAACGGCGCCGGTGACATCTGCAACCGTTTGCTCTCTCTCCCTGGCTTGCTTCGCGAGGATATCATCCTCGGCATTGTCTTCGCTGTCCCCGTCCCCGTCTAAGTCGGACCCGCTTCCATCTCCGTCTTTGTCACTGCAGGAGCGGCGTAGACAATTCATGCGTGGCGCGTTGTTTCAATGCGGCAATTCGCTTGACCCTTGATAGAACGGCGGGTTGAGTGGAAATACTCAACCCCTTTACCACAGCCTGTATAGTTCAGTCAGTCTCCCCCGAAAGTCCAGCTTTAATCATGGCGCGCCAGGTACTGTGTTTAGTCTATGCACCTAAAAGTATTTTCCCGTAATGTTGACGAAGTTTACTAGAATGTAGGCTCCACCCTAGACCCACCCTGTCTTCGTGGTTCCGATCCGATCTTATGGAAATGCATCGTTGCTGCATATTCGAATAGTGTTTCTGTACTACGAGCGAGGACGTAGGCTGTGCAACGCTTTCGGTTGGCGTTCGCAGCGCGCATCGTTCAGCAACAAAGACTGGCACAAATGTGTCAAACTTGAAAACCAGCCTTGGTGGTAAGGTGTCCCTAACCTCAAACGCCGCGCAAGCGAGGAAGCTTTGGCGAGGATCGAGAAATCGACGAAATTGACGAAATCGACGAAATGAACGAACGCTCGATAAGATGCTGATCTGGGCGCTCAATAAACAAAGATCGGCGTCGGACAGCACCAGACTGACAATGATAAAGACAAACATGGCCACGCCTTCCCAACTGTTGAAAAACGACAACAAACGTTTAGTGATGACCAGAGTTGAATTTCAACGCTTTGAGTGCTTCAGATTGGGTGAAAACACAGGCAAATTAGCAGCTCTTGAATCTTGAAGACCTCATCATGTTCCACCCAATGGTCATTCTCTAGCGTGCACATGCATACCTATCTGAATCAAACATGGTAGCCTCTTCCGCAATGATCCGCATTCGCTCTCGTAACCTGCCAGCCATGTTCCTGTCTCCGGCGGTATCAACTGTATCGCGGACAATTTCAAGCCTAGACAAACAAAGAGGAGCAAACGGGCGGCTCACACGTTGATTTTGCAGCCCGTATCGGCGAAGGAACACGCGTGGCACTCTCGGTGGTACGAATAGTGGTTGTGAACTTTGCTAACAGTACAACAGTCGAGGCCTACCTTCAGAACAAGAGCGTTGCACGCGATTCCCTAACCAAAGACGCTCACTGTTGTTGGTGATGCCGTCTGTTAACGAGTTTGCCCATCTACCCTTCGGCGTTGTTCGAAACTGCACCACCTGTTTTCTCTTCCCATGTATTGGGAAAAACTCCTTGCGTGAGGTTCCCGCATCATACGCATTCTTGCTCCCGTACTGTGACAGTGTTCAACTGAATGGGTGAGCTTTCCTTCAACGATTTTCCCAACGGATCTACTGCGGATGTGCAAGAAGCACCGGGACAATCCTGGTGTGTCTTGTCAATGTCACCCCGACCGACCTTCGCGCCTCTTGCCACATCTCCGAGAAGCTCGCATCTCTTCGGGCTATTCGTCCTATCAGCGAGGAAGAATCATCCAAAGGCGCTAAAGCGCCTCTTGGACTGCCATGAAATTCAGGCGGAGAGAGAGGGGGGGAGGGCAACATCATCTACTGTGTGTCATTACCGTTTCATCTCTACCCCGACAATGGGGACACATGTTTCTGGCAGCCGAAGATGGCAGAAGCTGTTAAACATCACTACCAACGATAGGGTGTAGGTGACGCTCATACATCAACCTTGCGGGTATATTGTCGGTGTCGTGCCCAACCATACCGTTTGGGCCATTTATGATGGAGAGAGCTCTGACTCTCCCGGCCGGCCATGCCGTACTTGCACCACTCCTTTCCACCCGGTGATTAGCCTCACACCTCCGCGCGAGGTGCCAGTGCACGGATCGCACTACATACGGCAAATCTCGCTCTCTACTTTTAGCAACGACAACGTTCCTGGCTCTTCCGAACAAAACCTTTTCAAAAATATCAACATCTCTTCGCAAGCCGGCCATCTTTTCGAATTGGTATAATGCCGGTCGCCCCGGTGGTCTAGTTGGTATCCTCGAAACCTTCTAGAGGTCAGGCCAAGGGTTCGAATCCCGGCGTAAACGAGCTTTTCTTGCAAACGAAGTAGATTTTCTCTCGCTTCCGCTCCTGGCCTAGTGGATAGCGCTAGTTTGTGTGTACACAAGCGCTAGTTCGTAAAGAGGGAAGAGAGTGCTGAACTCTTCTCGCATTAAAAATCGAAGGCAAAGCACCGCAGGAGGGGAGGGTAGAGAGGGGCCCTTCTGTGTGACCACGGGTTGGAGAAAACGGCACTAGTTCTGTGAGCGTTGATTTGAAGTGAAGCAAAAAAACAAAATGGTGGCGACGGACACAACATAGCGGAACGGAAGTTGCTTCTCACCGACGGTACGCCCCCGCCACTCCCGTTGACTCGGCTATCTTCTTTCTAGCTTTCTCTATAGTCTTGGAGCGTCGGTCCTTGATTGCGTTTGCTTTCTCTGCTTCCTTCTCCGCCGCGGTCGGCTCGTTCGGGTTTCCTGAAAGTACACAAGGCGGTGCAATCACAGGTGATGGTATGTACAGCTAGACTGTTGTAGACGGAAACAACTCTGTTAGTAGGGGGCGATCGGTAGGAAATTAAATTGAATAGAAGGTGCTTGCGGCTTCGTGATGGTTGTTTTCTAATTGTCGTTACAAGGACGTGGTGGGGGGACCTCGAAGACACACGGAAAGCGAGATCGAGACTAGTTTCGACTCGACGAGGAAGGCGTCAAGAAGTGCCAGGGTGACGGCCAGGGTTAGCTGTCGTGCTTTACGTACCCTATGTTGTCATCCGTCTATGTCTGCATCCCCTGACCAGCTCGACTGATTGAGTCTAACCACACGAATGTCGAAAATTGAGATTGGCCGCTCGCTTGACATCAACGGTTTTCCTAACCTTTAGCCACGATTAGCCGGACTCCAACCCCGAGCTGTCTTGCATCTCGCACCCCGTTCCACTTGGCAATGTCCGCAACTGTGGTGTTGTTCTGCTTGGCGAGTCTACTGAGGTTATCGCCGGGACCCAACACAGCGTACTTGTCCTGCGACACACAAGCCGTCCACAGAGGGAGCGGCAGGGAGGGACAGAACAAGTCTTGGCCACAAATACACCCGGAACAAAGACTTTTTCTCGGAGTCTGATGACCGGAGAGCGGGGCACAAAGACACTGTCAGAAGTTGGGGCGAACCAAGTCGGATCAGATTATTGACAGCGAGAACACGATTGTCCGGTATTGGTGAGCCTCGAGACAACCCGTCTCCCTACACATATTCATCGTGGGCGAACCAGCTTTACGAGACGGAAGCTATCTAGCTCTTCTGTCGTCCCAACAATTGTCCACTGTTTGCAAAGCGAATTAGGGCTCAGCCAAAGAAGAGGACGACTTGAGTGGGTGAGGGCAAATAACATGCCCTGTACTGCTGTCTTCCCCCAGACAGGTTGCGTCCCATGGCGGGTTGCTGCAGCAGCGGTAGCCGTTAGGCCAATGTGCACGGCGGTAAAACCCTCTGGTACGGAACTCCACCTGTCTCGGACCCCTCGCCGCCCACACCCAGGTCCTCAGGGTACCGTCGTCGCTGGCGCTGATGATTTTAGACCTGTCGAACGCGACGGCGAGTACCATTCCCTCGTGGCCCCTGAGGGTCATCGTACACTCCCCCGTGGTGAGATCCGTGACAGTGATCGTGCCGTCGGTGCTGCAAGACACCACCTTGACAGTAGATACAAGAAGCAAGGATCACCACATAAACATCAAGAATCAAACTTTGAGTGTTCCTTTGCTGTGTACCTAGGATGAGGTGTTTGGACAGGTGTCGAAATCTTGCGCATAGCTTCAGCGTGCGGCGCTTCGGGCAACGCTTCCTTCGGGGTTGACAAAGTGCGCGTCCACGTTCGCAACCATGCTTGAGCGAGAAGTACTTGTCAACATTGCTTTTTGAACCGTGGTTTTCTCACCTTGGTGGCGTCAAATTGTAGTTGACGAATTGGCCCTGAGTGTACCTTGCTTTTCATCATAATTAAGCCTGTCGAGGCCCACCAAACGACCACAGTCCCTGCATTTTTCGTTGTGGCGACAATAGTGATTACGTCCACGGTCATATCGCTGTGGTCATCGCGTACGCTCAGTCGTGCTGAACCTGAACCGCATCATTTTGTCTTACAGCAGGTAGCTGCACAAGGTTGCCGTGTTTTGCGTCCTGTCACGCATTCTCGGTTTCGATAACTAATTGCCATGTTTCGCATTCACAAAAAGCTTTCAAGTAGCATTCCGCTGTGTTTTTCTCTGGCCGTCGCCATTCGCTGACCAGCTCGAGTTGGCCGAACATCGTAGTCTCTATCGAAGCTCTTGCAAGTAGAGGAAACGCTCTTCCAACCGTAAAGGTAGTTGCTTTTGCCCTTAAAAGCACCCCCGCCAAGATGTCGAGACAAGAAAGAAAGTTCACGGCGCTTCTCACCGTCTTCGTGGCCACTGACGAGCTCGAGCCGCCCGTACGACACACAGGTGGCGGAACGATAGTGCCCGGCCAACCGCTGCTTGCACTCGTACCGCTCCAACTCATCTTCGTTGTCCACGGTGGCGTTGTTTGTCCTCGCCTTCGAGAACCTCGAAACGTTTCCAGCGCCCCAGAGACGAATATCCCCGTCGGCTCCCCCACTCAGGATGAACGAGGCACCTGGTGGAGTTGTCGTTGTCGTTTTCGTTGTCGTTGTTGCTGCTGTTGTCTGCTTTCTACCGTAAATTTACTCGTTGTGGTCTTTCATCCAACGTCGCCATCTCCGGCCCTACCACGATGGAAACGAGTGAAAATCCGGTCTTCTTCGAAAGCTTGTTCATGTTCCGAAACGTCGTGCTCCATACCAGATTCTCACCAGTATGCAAAGAGATGACACTCTTGGTGTGTCCGTGAAGAACCCGCAAAATGCGGCCGTCTCCATGATTCCAAATAAGGATGTTCTGATCGTAAGCAAGGGCGAATCGGATAGAGGTGTGTCAGCAAAGGGAAACGTGATCCCGATGAGTGTTTTTCGTTTTAAGAATGACGTTGTGAGGCTTCGCACAAGCATGGGCTGTCAAAAATCCTTGGTTGGTTGGCAAAGAGGCGTCCGCGGTGGTGACCGAGGGCGCCAAAGCACGAATGTTCACCTAGGGGGTACAGTCTATTCCTGTATACTCTCCATAGTGCTCCGGATGTGGCTTCAACCACGTCCCGCGAGAAAAAAGAAATGCCACCTAACCCTCGTGTAGACAGCTATACAACGAGACTCATCGTAAAGAGCGGTCGAATCGCGCGAAATATGAACGTAAAGCTGGAAAGGGAAAACATCGATTACTTCTGAACCTTATCCGCCGCTCCAGAGACGATCTTGTGCTCGTCCGCCACCACGCTGCAGACCGTAGCTTCGTGTCCCTGAAGCACCATGAGGCGTTTTCTCTCGTCGACGTCCCACACCTTGTTCGGTAGAGAGCGCGGCAAAATCGGTTTTTCTTCGCGTTCATGTCATTGCTTATCCCGGCTGAAACGTGCTTACGAGGATTCCTTGTGTCGAGGCTACGCACGGATTGTGCGAACACCGATGCAGAAAGGGGCAGAGATAAGGTTAGGGTATTTGTACGAAACGATGGACGCGTAGTCTTCGGCACTGAGAAAATGTGCCCTTGACTGAGAAAATGTGCCCTTGACTGCAGATTCTGCCCATTTCAGCACACTATCCCGCAATTCGTTTCAGATATTGCTAAGCACTTCCAGACCATTCATGGGCTATACATTGGCTACCTTTTAACGTGGGAGTCCCAGAATTCTCCGTCTGTTCTCGTCATCTAGAGAGAACAAGTTGTCGGAAAGCGAACTATGCCCTTGAAATGAACCTTGACCGAATATATCCTGTATCCATTGATGATATTCGTTTTTTTCTGCCTTCATGGTCCTGCCAGGAACCGCATGTGTATATTCTCACAAAAAAAAAGAACGATGCCGTGCCACGGGCAACCATTGAGTGGTGCCTATAATTCCCATAATCCAGCGTTCACATGTCGCATCTACCCGCCGAGGAGGTAGCCTGCCACTCCATATTACCTGCACGGTGCAGTCCATGGAACCAGTGTACACCACGCTCTTGTAGAAAAAGAGGGCAGTTATTACCCTAGAGTGTCCCAGCAGCTCTCCCGTGTGTCTGCCCGGCTCATCCCCGCTGAACACATGCTCCAGCGTTCCCGTCGCTATTCCGTACACCAAGACCTTCGCGGATAAGTGACGGCAGCAACGGTGTTAGCAACGCCAACAAGCACGATGGGGACGGAAACCATACAGAGCGAGGTGCTGGACCCGGCGCAGTCTAATCAACTCCGAAAGTTTTTCAAGCTGTGCGCTCCGGTGGGGGCTACACGGTTTTCTCCCTACTTGTGATGAGAGTATCCACGCTAGTTTTGGTCTACCCTACAACACCGCCAGTCCGGAGTCCATGCACTCCAGGGAAATCGATAGGCGCGGTGACCTATCAGGTATTGCCTAGCATGCGGCGGTTGACTGTCGCTCTCGCGACGGATATCAAAGGTAGTGTCACGTGTGTGCCTGAGGCTACATGTCGTGGATACTTCGGTTTCTCAAGTCGCCGCCTCCCCCTTGCGCGTTGTTGCACGATGGCCCTACTATAATAGAACGCATTCCAACAGAACCCTTTCGCTCCTCCTATTCGATTCCTATGTGCCTTAGCCCGTTGGGGATTGCGCTCAACACTGTTTGTTTATGTGGCGAGGCGTTTCTAGCACTGTATACAAAAGGGTACCTTTCTCCCTTCCGCGGCTACGATCTTTTCGATCCCCCCCGTCGCCGTGCCCTCCACCTCGTTACCGGCTGTGTTGGACGGGTTCATCCCGATCAGGCGCAGGCGAGCCTTGCCGACGACGCTGGTCATCAGAGGGCCACCCTCAATGGCGATTTCCTTGGCGAGACAAAGTTAAGTACCGCGCAATAGAAGAAAGTGGACACATACGGTGCTTGATTTTGACGGTGGGAGAGAAGAGGTTGGTCCAATTCGGTTGTTGCCTACTTTTTGTTGTGCGAAGTCTTCTCTTACGGCGAAGACTCGATTCGGTGATGTGGAGCCCCCGTACCTGGTCCAGACCATCGATTTCGTCCGCCGAGTTGGTCACGCGGTTGGACAGCGCCGTCAGGAGCCCGGCATGTCTCGTCAATTCGGAAGACACCTGTTGTGGTGTTGTCAGTTCGTATGTTGTCACCGTCACTGCGTTACGCCAGCTTGTCATTGTTCGTCGCCACACCGGGACACACTTCAAACCCAGCAATATCGCCCCTCGGCGGCGTGCTGCTGCCAGTGGCTCTGAAACACGGCTTTCGTGAACACATAACCACAGAAACCGAGGTTTGGGCCCAGTTTTACCTCCTCTCTCTTTTGTTCCATTTCAGCATCGAATTCGTCGTTGAATGATGTGTCACGTCTAGCGGAAAAAAACTGCACTACTGTAGTAGATCAACGGGAGTAACTCTTGATGCGTTCTGAGTGTTTTGCTGTACACTATGCACGCGTACCTCAATTTCTCTCTCTCTGAGTCTGATCTTGAGCTCCTCTATCTCGAACGACATGATTTCTCCCTCGACGATGAGTGTGGAGGACATGGCGTCCTTGTCGGTCTCCAGGGCCTCCTGCAGCTGCTCCTTGATGAGCTGGAGCTTTGCCTCATGCATTTTCACCACCTGCCCAAGTCATTCAACGATGGAGGCGCCAGGATACAGGGAAAAAAAAAAAAGACGAGGCAAGCTCAACCCTTGCTTTTCCCAATCCGTCAAGCGCAAGCATGACCTCCTCGTAGTCATCCTGAGCTAATGAGATGGAAACGCTGCCTTGGAGTAAATACGTTGTCCCGTGGAACAGCAGATTTCCAAGACAAGGAAAGCCGAAGATGTTCCATTCTCACGAAACCCTCAACATTCCAAACTTCCCTTGCGGGTCTGCGATGGTGATGAATATTCCAGAACCACGTTTCCCGATCGCGGCCGCGGACGAACTGCGGGAGGACATGTTCAGCACTCAACGTGCTCCACATTCTCTGCCGAGGGCAGAAAAATACAATCCTATCAGGCTGTTGTGTGTTCTATACTGAGCACATCGCTTGATACCTCACGCACCTTCTCCTGCGCCTTTTTAGCGATGAGCGTTTCCTTCAGATTTTCGACGAGGTACGCCCGTCTCGAGCACATGGCTACGTAGCCCGCCGTGACCCTCTCCAAGCGAATCACCTGCCCCCCAGTTTAAAATTGCACATGAGGAAAACTGGTTTTCTATACTCGGACTCTGTCAAACAATGGCGTTGTTCGTTGAATAAAAAGTATAACGGACAAGATATAGGGTGCACACTAAATTGCGAGAATCCGAGCGATCGATAACGCGTGCTTATGAACAGCGCCGTTTACAAAACCAAACGCCCCTTTCACTGCTCCCAAACATCGTGGGGGCCATGACCGAGCGATAGAGACGTCTTTCGAAAGCTACGGACTCAACGTCACCCTTCACAAAACGCCGTATCCAAGTTGGGGGTTATTCGTGATATCGACGAAATAGGCCGACCTAAAACACAAATTTTATACGTTTTTCTGTCCATAACAATCAAAGGGGGAAGAGAACACAGCAACGAGTTGACGAGGGCACCCTCTGCAACTACACGGCGACATGCCACACGCATGAAGCTCCAAATTCTCAACCAGTACTGTAGATAGTGAAGGCTACCAGAAGACGGGCGAGCTTAACACAAGAGGCTACTTGAAGAGGGGCAAGATTGACACAAGCAAGCTCAGGATATGAGGTATTGGTGCTCCACAAGCACGGGCAGACCTTGGCGCTGTTAGCCGTCCGCCCGACGAGGCGCGTGGTGGAATCTTCGAGACTAGCCTTGGCTTTCGAAAGTTTGCTCTCCATCTCCTTCTCGATCGACTCGGCCCTGTCCGCGTAAACCTTCGCGTGCTCCTGGCGACGCCAGTATCCGCCAAGATAGAGGAGGCACGTAATGGGATATGGATGTGCTGTCAGGCTTAGCTTCGATGTTGTGAATTTACCCGAACAAGTGAAGCGGAGGATACTAGGAAATGACGAAATTTCCACTTTCTCCCGGCCAGTGATGCAAGTGCGGGGTGTAACCACTCATTCCACGCTGCTTCAAAGTGGAGAGCCTTGCCCGCAACCAAAATCGTGTAGCGATAAAAAGAATAGTACGACGTCTATCCCACGCGTACGTCATCAACCATCCGGCGATGGCCTTCCTCTAGAAGGCGAAAAAGACGTGCGTCTTGCGGGAGATTCCTTATCTCCACGTTCCGCGCAAGCGCCCGCTTGAACAATGAAACTGCATCCCTGGGCAATCACCAAACAAACATTACAACAGAGAATGAGGTTCGCATATGGAGGGTCCCTGTGTTACATATACAAAGAACAACGAGAGCCATACATGAAGGTTCCGAAATTACAAGACGTCACCATCGGTTGGCGGGGTGGGGCAGGGAGAGGCGAGTGGTTTTCTGCACACGTCAGCTACAACAATTTGAATGCTGTCTTCAAAGACAACTCCTAACAAGTTTGAAAAGGTCAGCACTTTTGCCACGAATGCTGCTGCTTCAGTCACCAGCTGCCAGCTTTTCTTAACGAGCAACTCTTTCGTTGTTCGACCCTCACGCAGGTCATTGAGTGGTTCGGAGGTCAGACAGCAGCAACAGCCCACACACCTGTACTGGCAGTTCTCGAGGCAGCAGCGGCCAAGACCTTCGAGCGCGTCCACAATACCCGGGAGGTGCTTCCCCTCGGTGGAAAGCTCCAGTGCCCTGAACGTGCGTTATGTTTGTTTGTGTCGTCAGCAGGGGACTTCTTACTTCCGGATGCTCGCCTTGTCTCTATCAACGCGCTTAACACATCATGGGTTGTTTATGCGTTGATCTTCACTTCATATGGAAATCGGGCCCCCTTGAGGCCGAATTCCTCCACCACTGATTCGCTTCTATCGTTGAGTACGTCCTGAGACACACATGTGGGCAGCCATTTCGAAGGTTTCGTGTGACGTTATTGCGCCTGTTTTCTATTTTCAGAGTTGTACCCTAGAGCATGCTTCTAGCACATGTTTTTTGTTGTTGTTGATGGTGAGAAGATTCGTCGCTTTTCCTGTTCGAGAAATTCTGTACTTGTCGTCAGTAGCAGTGAGGCGTGCGGACACAGGCAATATGTTTACGTGTTCAGGTTGATCCAGAAGCTAACGTCTAGGTCTGCGTACGGCACCCAGTGGACACTATTGTACATGAACCGTCGGACCGACAAAAAGACCAAACTTGTTTCGTGGCGTATGCTTGTCAAAACGCACATTCCGTTCGACGGACGCAAGCAAACATTTCGGCACGTACCTTTCGAAGCTCACGGCCGCGAGGTCGACACGATCGCATGCTTTTTGAGCCTTTGCTAGCCTAGCGTGGGCCACGCCGAGAGCAGTGAGGCCCATTCGATCGGACTGCACGTCAAGGTTTGAAATCTGTGTGGGTTGAACGCGCGGGTGTAAGCGTGCATGCACCACCGGACCACGCGCAGGCGGGGGGGGGTGATACTTGAGTCCTACGTCCCTTTCTATCCGAATGACTCACATGTCTGGCGGGGGCAAAAATCAACTATTAGTCTAGACCAAGAGGGCATTTAGGAAAATCTATACGTGCAGGATCCCGATCCTTTAAAAAAAAAAACAATTGGCCATCCCAAGAGCAGATGACTTGGCAAAGGGAGAGGTACACAAAAGAAGCCAATGGCTGAGGTTCCGACACGAAACCCAGAGAAAAACGATGTGACATCATTCAGGGCTGACTACAGTTGTAGCACTAGATATCCCTCCACGATCGATCGTGGTGTTTGCTTCACACCTGCCGAGAGTAGCAGATGCAAGCCTTCGCTGCCTGGCCAATCTTGATGAACCCATCGCCCTGAAGATGTGCGCGCAAACCGCGGGAGCCCGACAAGAAGACACGTTGACGATTAATTATGTTGCATTTGTTTGAGTATTACACTTCGTATTACAAGTAGTACTGTGCAGTTTTTCGGCGAGTCCAAAAGAAGGAGATGCCAGTATGACGACTCACGGACGGCCACGATCGAACAATATTATTTGGTCTTCGACAGACAACGTTGTTCATGCGGAAAGAAATACATCGCCAGAGACGACACGCAGGCGCCTTCATCTGCATATTTTCCGGAGTACAATGATGTGCAGAGAAGGGCCAGACGGAAAAAGAGGGAGATGAACAACAAAATACACACCGATATTTAATTGCCATAGAGCTTTCCCAAAAGTAACGTAAGCTTTAATTTAAATGAATACAATAGAGACGGCACTCGCGGGACGAAAAACACACGACAAGACGAAACGAGGAACAGGGAGGAGGTTAAAAAAATAAGGTCTAGACTACAGACATGAAATAAAAACATACGCGTACGGAGAATCGAACTCCGGGCAAGTGCTTGGAAGGCACTTATGTTACCACTACACCACACGCGTCATTGTTGCTTGGGAGTAGTGTAGATTTTGCCTACATGAACATTCAGCGAGACATTTGCAATCATCGCCCCGACGATGCGTAGACATCCATCTGAAGACTACGTAGATACAGTGCTAGATACCTGCTGAGAGACACAGCGGAATGCACGGCTGATAAAAGGGAGGAACGTGCAGTACAGCAGGCGTCCTCTGCTGCTTGCACCGAAGTGGTCGACGAACATCACCGCGCGCTGTCGCGAACAGGTGTGCATAAAATGCACCACGCCAATACGTGTACATCATGTAGTCCACGTATGTTGCGACAAGAACACTGACTGGCACACGCATTTACTCGCTCCGTGATCAATCATTTGTATCTCATCAACATGCTCTCTGACACCAAAAATACATCGAAGCGTATGGATGGGCTCTGAAAGATATCGACGACGCTCCTATGTTACGAGCCTGTGGGCGATACGCGAACATTGTATACAGGATGAGACGCGGGGTGTGCAGCAGTACAATGTACATAAAAGATGCCCGCGTCCAAACCAGGGTCTCTGTTCAAAGACACGTGCAGAGTTGACACTGCACTGCTGCTGTATATGCATGTCGACTTATAGAATGATGTATACGGACATGGTTCGTGATGTCTCCTGGACTCCGTCCACGTCGACGCACCGGGTGGCGAATAAATGCACACGCCCATCAGTAGATATTTAGATATTATTAGTCTACATGTGGAGTAGTGCTTCAGCAGCGGCGTAGCTTGCAGACCGGCGCCACCCTCGCGGCTGTACTCTCAGGAACCCAACAGAGAATGCAGTGGTGGCTCTAGTGTTGGGCGGGGCTCAGCACCCTGGAGTTCTAAACTACGGCTCTGCCCTGTAGATGAAGGACCACAAGCATTGGGCGGCGCGTCCTGCCATGGGTTGTTTTGGAAAGACTTTCAGACTTTTCTCTAGCCCGGACACGTACGCTGGGGGTAGGAGAGAGCACACGGCGGCCGTACTCAGGCGTCGCCATTAGCTATCTTGGTCGGGGGTAAGGGTACAACGTACATACCTGAAAAAAGCAGTGCTGTTCATCACCACACTGGGTTCAAGTTCAAGATGGCGCCTGCTGCCGCACGTTCTCCATTATTGGCTGGGCATTCCGTGTTTACACACATAACTCTTGTTACGCATCAGCTTCGAGGTCTACTGCTGTGTTGAGCTGGCTATGTTACAGCAGTCATTTTGCGTCATGAATGATTGTTCCGCTGAAGGTTCATGTAGGCAAAATCTGCATATCAATCAAGCAACACGACGCGTGTGGTGTAGTGGTAACATAAGCGCCTTCCAAGCACTTGCCCGGAGTTCGATTCTCCGTACGCGTATGTTTTTCCTCTCTTTTTTTTTTCCGTTCACATCATCCCTTGTTCTTGTTTTCGTTTGTGTGTGGTGGGTATTTTTTGAAAGTGAACATAATCTCTCTTTTGTCCCGCTAAATAATGTGGTATCTTTCTTCAGAGATATTTCTACGGTTCTGGCCCAACGTTAAAACTGCTCAGCCTGCAGCGGCGGATTCCGATCCTCGTAATATGCGCGGGTTCTTATTCGTGATATGCATACTACCACCACGCAACACGGTAGTAACCGTTTCCGATTCGATCCCCCCACCTCGTGAACGGGCACAGATAGATGTATATACAAACTCCTTCTCGTTCACACACACACCCTCTGTTCGCTATGCGTGCATGCAAGGTGAACCTCGTCTTGCCTCTCTCTGCGTTCCTTGCGACCACAGGCTCTGAGCTCCACACATACATGACGATTTTTGTGTTTCTTCGATTTTTTCCGGGTACAGTAATCGTTCCCCATCGAACTACAGTACTTTCATTATTAAGGGGGTTTCCAAGAAAACGCCGGAGGAATTCCGGAAAAAGGTCCGGGTCGCGCCTTGCAGAACGGGCCCGCCGCTATTTGAAATATTTCGTGAAGAAAAAGAGGCTCACATTTTCGCGAAAAATGAACAAACACAGCTATTTAGCTCAGCGGGTATACCCTAGCTAAATGAACAATCTGTGCGGTGGAGATGAAATGAGAAAATAAGCCTCCACCTAAGTTGACGTTTTCTCTTATGTCTGGGCCCGTTCTGTATATGCATGTCTCGAGCAGGCATAATTTGTTCGGGAGCGCTTTCTCCATACATTTCAGAACGCCAGTGTCATCGAGTTGTAATCTTCAGCTCCAAATATATTATTAGTCGTTTCGACGGGATGATACATGTTCGAGCAATTTATTTTACCTGCGCAACCAGAGCCGTGTCCAACCCGGCCGCTTCGCTATCCTCCACAAAGGATCCTAGCTCGGTTTCGTGGAAAATGGCACTGCCTTCCAGCGCCTTCTTCTGCTTGTTGGTCAAGCTCATCCGCGCGAAATCTCGGCGGAGCGCCGCCGCATCTCTCATTACCACCTGGAGCTCTTTCTCCATCACTTCACGTCCTTCCTGAAGACAGACAGATGAACCTGATGCATTTGAAAGGTGTCTTCGAGTCCAGTACTTCTAAATCAAGGACCTGCTCGGAGAATCAACCCTACTGCGCTCAACAAGCTTTGACATTATTCATTGGGGTATTGCGACTCTTTCATGCTCCCCTCTCTGCCATTTCATTCCGAGATTAACGCATTGAGCGTTCTGTGCGGGTTCCGCAGGCTCCCTTGCCAGCCGGCGATACACACCCTATGACGTTACATTTCTGAAAACTGCGAAGAAAATAGGAAGTGCCACAAGTGCTCCGTAACAAGCGATTAGTTTTCGATTTGTTTGCGTAGGATAATCGTTGCATTTAGGTTGCACTATCTAGAAATGCCCAACGGCAAGGGTGCGGGCAGATGGCTTGGGTGTCCTTGCTCGATGTGAGTGTATGTAGCTGCCGTCAGAAGATATAACGAACGGGAGTTTTTCCCAGACTTTATAGCTTCATAGTTTCGGAACATGAGAAACATTTATTACACTCACGGTGATAATAATAATGGTCAGTCAGTGCTGTTCTCTCTGTTATTCGCGAAACAGATTCTAGTTTTAATTCCCCCTCTTTCGTCGCGTGCATCTCAAACCTGGGGTGTGTACCCCAGTACCTTGTATCAAGTAAGAGGGAGAATTTATTGCCGCGCAAGCCTGTGCCGCATATTCTTAAAGCGCTCGTTTTCCAAGGAGGAAATGTCTCTGCGATGTTTACGTGCTCGTTTTTCGCTCAACAGAGTGCGGGGGCGTTTGCAGCGATGGAGACGTTAACTCCTGAAACTGCGGTAGTAGCATACCTCTGCCCACATAAGGTGTCGGCCGCCGATGCCGCGGATGACGTACTCGGACGAAATCTCCACTTTGTCCACGGTGGCATGCTTTCCTGTATGCCACTTGGCGAACGCCGCGCTAATCAACCTGGAGGGGGCCACACCGTTAACTTGATTTTAGAATCGAATGTTGTGCCATGTCAATGTTGTTGAGGCGGGGCTTCTGGTCTCGCGGACGGGATTGAAGAACTCGGGTGGAGTGAGTGGAGTTTGCAGTTCATGTCTTACGACGCGAGGGCACGTGGTCGGTACTCAAGAGCTTTCAAGTAAGCTCGTGACGCCAATCTCAGTAATTGCACACAAAGTGCTGAATATATTGTTGTTTGTTGACACGAACATATAAGATACGACAGCTACACCAACGGCACGCTTGTTGACGCTTGTACAAGCGACAGAAAAATCAACACGTACTACCTCGTCCGCATCCTGACGAGAGCATTGAGAATGACGGCCCTCTCCTGCTGTGTCGACTTGACCGCTGATAATAGCGCCGAAAACGCTTTCTCCTTCACCGCCTCGTCACTCTGTGTGTTGACCTGTTACATCGTGTCCAACGCTACCACACTTAACGTCGTAACCAACACTCTTGAAGTGGATGTGTAAACGTACATCATCATGTTCTTTTTATGCATGTGGCGAGCGCATATATTGCCCTGTTCTTGAAGAGAAACAGAAAGGCCCCTCGGTACTCAGAGAAGACCATTGGTGAAGACGCGATGAAGTCAACGATCACAAGGTGATGTGAAGAAGGAAACGGAGCCTGGTGCCGGTTGTTGTTCGGTTCAGCTGTGGATTAGATCCCGCTCGCATTGATTGGCCAGGTTTGCGTATTTTGGCATCAAAGATGATTTGAAAGCACGACTAGATGACTCCTCCTGAATAAGTCCCAAGAAGTCGCGGAATCTTTCCCGATCTTTCCCTGATACACGAACTTATTTCTACATGTAGATGACCCCAAGCCATGTGCCGGGATTGAACTTTACAACGTCAATCTGGTAGTATCGTGCGAGGTACGATACCTTGGTCCCACAGGTAATGCTATTCCGTGCTGCGTGGCTTCTTCCCTTTCACGCTCCAAGAATATCCGTACGTGCTCAACCCGGAATTCAGGACTGGATAGTCAATACGCACTACGATTCCACCAGAATTCATTTCCTGGCGTTCGTTCTGTCCATAATTCGAGCCAGAAGTTCTTCAATCCTCCCTTCTCGCCTCTCAAAAGAACGCCTCTCTCTCTCTCCAACTTTGAGTCAGCCGAGGAAACACACACGCCCACAATTGTTTTCAATGTGACACTTGGTCACCAGACAAACCCTTGCCTTCAGATTCGCGCTGAGTTTCTTGGCCTTCTCGGCATTCTTGTTGAACACCGCAAACGCCGCGATCCTCTCCTTCAGCTCCCCTTCCCGCTTGAGCTTGAGTTGCATGGCCCGGAGAGACGTCTTCGTGCCCTCCATGAGGTTTGCCTTATCCCGCGCTATGGACGCCTGGCCCAACTCGAACTCCTTCCGCAGTTTCTGGCGTAGGATCTGTCGATCGCGTCGATTGTGTCACTTTGGCCGGAATGTTTTCGCAAAGTGTGATCCTAGTCGTACGACACGGTGTGCGGCCACACCGTTGGCGTCTAAGGTTTGATCGCCGTGGTCGGTTCTACGTGATAAATTTGCTCTTAACGACGGATCGACATTCATTCGTGTTCACTCACTCCAAAATCACATTTTGTTTGACGGGATCTTTGTAAGAGGCACGACTTCTCAACCCCCCATGCAACCTGTACCTGACGCTTACGAAACGAGTCTTGCCGAGAATTAGTGCTGAATGTTGGAAAAGGAAGAATGGCTACACCCTTGATGGGTCACTTCTGAAGTCGTGCTCTATACCGAGTGGAAGAGTTCGCGGGTCTCCCCTTGAAACCCCGCTACCCACTTTAATGGGAAACCGTTGTTGGGACCCGTGCAGGACGGACGAGTTGACATGCCCCCCCTTGAACGTAGCCAGCCGGTCGAGCTCCGCCTGAAGCTCCATTACCCTCGCCTGAAAGAACGATGGCAGTGTCCCATGATTTTCAGCTGTGTTTCGGAAACATGGTACTGTCGGATACATCTGTATTCCGCATGTTCACCCCACCAGCTGGACGTGTGTATTCCACGGCTATGTGGTTGATCCAAGAGGGTTTGAACATGGTAGCCCCGTGTCGTCATCAAGTACGGCTCTCCGCATCGCCAGCAGCACCGTTCAGGGTGGTAGTGACCGACCGACCGACCTGTGTGGAGTTGAGCTGTTGCGCCAGGACTGCCCTGAGTCCGATGTGCCCAAGCCTAGTCTCTTCGCATTCCTCAATCTGGGTTGGCACAGTGGTGGCGGACAGCGGTGACGGACGCGGACAATACCATCCGTTGTGTACGAGGACCAACGAGCACCGTGCGCCGCTAGTGAGAGAGTAAAGGGGGTACAGCTGTGTCTTTCTCGAGGGTGCTCGAACGCCATGATCCCAACAACACCGAAATTGAATGCCCAGCTTGAGACAGCCGTCGAAACTAATGGTCCAATGGTGCGCTAGAGGACTCGTCGTTGTTGTCTATTCTGCCGCTAATTTGAGTTTTCTGCCAAACGCGGTATTGCTACTCCACCCACCCACCGAGCACGTGCTCGTGCAGCCCTCGTATACAATCAACGATTGGCAAAAAATACGTCGGTCGGCCGCTGCTGGTGGTAATCATGACTGGCCAAGCAAATCTCCAGAGGTGAAAAAGGCATGAGGGCCCGAATCTAGTCATAATTGTATGTATTTATTGTCTTCAACGTGCTTGCCTGCTCGCGCAGCCTCCTGAGGCGGACCTCGAACTGAAACTTCCTTCTCTTATAGCCATGGAACACGGACTCGAGCAGTTCTTCCTGTTGCTTCAGGCGCTCCTGTTCTAGACAAAACGAACACAAAAGTCAGGTATAATCACATGAACGTACGATCGTTGTGGTATCACAGAACAAAAAGTAATTGGCAGTGGTTTTCCCGATGGAGCTGTTTGAGCGGCGGACGGAGATAACAGGTACGGCAACTTGAGACATCATCAAAGGCAGACGAACATGCGCTACGGTCGAATAGGCAGTCTGAGTAGTCGCTTGGATGGTTCGCAGAATCGCGCGGCTTTTCTTCGTGGCAGACAGCCCATTACCACCTTTCCAAGGAGAACGCCACGTTAACCTCCTCTTTCAGCCGTTGCTACCACAGTGGGGATTGCCCCTCAAAAAAAATATTTCTTTACTGTGGAGAACGGCTTAGATCTGTCCCCGACGCAGAGAGGGGTGCGTGCGTACTTCTGAAGCAGCACGGGGGGCGCTGGGAAATAGTCTTGGCACTTCCAAGATTTCCGGATACCAAAAAGCAAGTCTTGTTTTCTCTCCAAGTCGAAACGATGTGATGGAAACGAACGGCAACATCCCTGATCGGTACACAATAAAACGCATCATGTACAAGTGCCACATACACTTCGATGCGCAACGGATCAGCGTTCTCACGCCCAGTTATCTTGTATATTATACGACGTAAACGACCAATAAACACACGACCTTTACTTGTGTCCGGTCAAATCGTTGTAGTTTATTGCTAAAATCGCTTGGTTCAATACCCGTGGAATCAGAGAGGGGACTTTTTCGTCGTGCTGTGAACAAACGGATGTACTGTGGATATTGCAGGAATTCGCATTCATGGGATCGTACTCCGGGCACAAGCCGCGCAGCACAGTAGCTCGGGATCTATCATTTAGTACAGGGATGTATTGTACACCTTGAACAACGGTCAGTGGAACATCACCACTCCGACGCCGCACCCACCTCCTCCGCTAAGTTTCTGTTGGATACCGGAGTCTCTTCATTCTCTCCCTCGGCCTGCCCCCAGCATGATAGCCATAGCACAACAACAGCAGCACGCAGCGGCGGAATCGTGCACGTCATGTTGAGGGTGAATTTGGTCACGAAAATATGAGCCTCGAGCCAGCTACTTCATGAACCATCAGATGCCGTCACCTTTTTCGTCTGTGCGATGCTACGGATTTCGTGGAAGAGGTTTCGATAGCGGTGGCCTTGATGACCGTGTCGTTTGTCTATTCGTTCTACTGGATAAGTCGCGATCGACCTTTGGAACCACAAGGCGCCATTTCCGCTCATTGCATGAATTTCCTCAATGCCTAAAGCGAGACAAGTCACGAAAAGACACCTACCCTCGGCTACTCGACGACTTGATATTCGGGTATAGGGGGGGTGCTGTAACGGTGTATCGTATCTTGAATAACGAAGTTGAAATTTAGAAGACAAATAACCACCACCATTCGAATAGGCTTTGCAGCTGTTTTGGCATTCTTCTTTCGATGCCGTACCTGAGAAGTCACTATTTCCTCGTCGCTATCCTCTTCGCCCGCTAGCTGGACGGGTAGACTCTCCAGGTCTCGCTCCAGCCTAGCTATGTACTCTTCACGGTTCTCTCGCTAGAAACAGGAGGCGGTGCACAGGTGGGCGAGATGAGCCGAGTTTGGGGACCGCTTGAAAAAATGACCTCTTCCAAACATTGAGGCGCTCTATTGGCAAAGTTTCGCGTGCTTTGCTAATTGCTTTTCTTGTTGAAGACGTCATTCTGTCTTGACGTTTTCAACGCGGAAATGCAGCTAGTGGTTAAAAGGGAATCGACACCTTTCATTGGCATGCACAACGCTTGATTTGCAAGACACTTTGAGAGCTTGTGAATTGGATTTGTGGCAGTTGCTTGGTGCGTTTCAATATCCTCACCTGCATGAAACCTTTGTAGAAGTCGGTATCGATCCAACCTCCGGTAGCAGCGCGCGCACGCCTGAGCTCGTCCATTATGCGCTGACGATTGCCGGGGGCTGTCATCAGCATTGTCAATACAATCGACATGGATCATGTCGTTGTCGAGCACCAGCTGCTGTTGCTGTCGCTGTCACCAATCCTGGTTATGTAGGGTACTAGAAATAACCTTGATGCTGTCGACCAAAGCGCCGGACATAAAGCCCGCGGCTATATACAACAAAAACCGCGACAACAAGCAACTCACGTAGCGTGGTGAAGGTAGGTGCGAAAACAGCGGCGCTCGCCATTCCCGACCCCCCGATGGCTCTGAGCGTTAGGTCCTTGTGCACGGTCGACGCCCGCAGCCCTCGTAAGACCAGGACCTGGTCTCCTTGATCCTCCTCGCTAGCGCTCGCCGGTACTTTCATCTGCGACACACCGTGCAACACCAAGGGGAGAGTGTCTCCCCGTTGCAGAGTGCGTGCCACATCTGTGGCTCCAGCCAAGAAAATCTCTTCGTAGACGTGGGGCGTCTGGTGCCCATGCCCATACCAATGTGTCACCTTTTGTGCGTGCACTTCTCCCTACTTTCATTTCGTTCGGGAGTGAAAACAAGGAAAACAGCCAAGAGTGATATTTCCGCGGCTTGGCATAGCTCGGGACCCAACCCGCACGTCCTGTCTGTGGGTAGACACCCCGAGGAACCGACACTAACCGGACCCGATTCAGTGCCGTGCATGTGACCACCACGATTTTGTTTGTTATCAGAGCTCGTGACCTACCTCGTGGTGGCGATCCTCCTCGATCTTCCTGGTGGTGACAGCCTGATTGTCCTTTGGCACGACGTCAGAGTATGTCAACTCGTACTCGGTCACCTTCAGTGACGACGCCACAGCAAGGGAGAAATTTCGCAAAAGGCGCGAGGGGGGGCGTTTTAGCTGAAGGATCGAGCATTTCACCCGTGACTTATCGCCGGCACCCAAGTCATTGTACAGTAGTAATACGCAAGTATTCGTTCGACACCCTCTCACAGCAGGTAGGTATCCTTGGCGACCTTAAATCTTGACGTCACAGTGCGCAGGGAGATAACGCGTTTCGCAGGTGGCGGGTTGAGTATTTCGTGGTCTAGCCTCGGTAAACTTCCCTGGTCTTCTTTGGCAGTTCCCAAACGCTGAAGATGATTCGACAAATTGCGCGAGAAAACGTGACGGATACATTGGGGAGCCCTCAATAACGTCGGTATGTGCCCGGCGCATCGACCGGCGGTATTCAAAGGGATCGGCGCTATTCACGTACAGAATGACTTGATGTTTCAGCCTGTGCCTAACAATTTCACCGGTGCTATACAGGGGCACCGTCGCTGATCAACCAGCGTTATGTACACCTCCCCGATGCGTTTAGATGGGTCTATATTCCATCATGATTCACTTTGCCTTGGGACTCCACATTTTGGCAGCTGTTCTTTGTCAATGAACATCGCGATTACGACGAGGGCCGTACATATTCAAGACCCACCTACAATTCCAAGATAAGGATGACGTTTGTTTTGAATACTCACCTCCTCTCCTCCCTTGCAGAGAGGCTCCATCCACCGCAGTACGGCCCGGTTGGACTTGACCAAGTCTACCCGAAAGAACAAAGGTGGACTTGGCGGTACCGGATCTTCGACGGTCGTCGCCGCCAGGATTTCAACACATCAAGAGCCACCACGATCATTAGTCTTCAACAGTATACAACACGATAGGTACACTGTCATAAAATATCGGATCTCTCGCAACGCCCCTTTGCCTGTTACAAACCGGAATGAGAGCCTCTTATCCCAACAAAATGTATATGCCACGTCACAAATGTTGTACAACCTAACGCGAAAACCTTGAAACACATTTTGCACCGCCTGCAAGAACACACAGCACTCTGTACATGGTCCGACTCTGGCGACCGATTCAGTATGACTTACTACAGGAGCTTCTGGGACCACCTTCCTGGGGTCGCTCTACTCCATTCTCTACCCCTTGCCCTGCACCCCCCCAGCCACGTCGTCTCCTCACCTTCCGTATACACTTCCGGCACCACCTCGCTCGGATCGCTCCATCCCGCCTCGTTCTGGCAGCGCACAGATATGTTGATGAGGTGTGTCTTCGCTTCTAGCCCCGTGAGCGTAAAGCCTTTGACAGCCACCGGCGTGGCTGTGCACCACCTGTCGTTTTTACATACGTTTCGTTGAGCGGATCGTCGCCGCGGTTCTACTGAACGCGCCCACCCTCTCAGGTACAGAACGGGCACGCAGTTAAGAAACGGCAGTTTCTGGTTGAAGCTCATTTTCTTGCTTCGTCGCCACCGTCGAGCGCGGTTAGTGCAAGGTCCACCGCTGAGCTGTGTGTCTTATCCCTATTTCCTTTTTCGTGAATAGTTGAGCGTCCATCTCTTGACGGAATATTTCGTATCTTGTCGGACCCGTTCTGGATTTCGTAGATAGATCAAGGCATTTATCACCTCCACCGCGTTTAGCGCTTCTTGTTGCAATGGAACGGCTGTGGCGATTATCACGGGTGCCAGAATTTCGGCTAATATCCGCTCTTTTGCTGTGTTTTTCCCGTACGACTGAATCTCCCTCGCCCCCCCCCCAGTCCCCCTCCATACTCGACTCGGAGAGCACCTCACGCAAGCTGCTTACTCGGCGCGAGGCCTGCATAGTAAGGCCGCGGCAACGCCACAGGAACGCGAGGGCCCACACAAGTACACCGACGCCATTCGCGATGTGTGCGCTCCCCACACCACACCCCCTCCGTGCTTCCATGGGGCTCAGGACCCTTTCTCAGGGAGACCCACCTGGAGGTGAGAACGGGATCCATGGCCGTTGTGACGTCCTCCTTGTGGTACTTGTCTTTCCTCACCACCTCGTGCACGGAGTAAGACACCTGCGATGAGGCATTTTTCGACAACGTGAGAGAGGACAGCTCGTCTTGCGTCGTAGAGGATAGGGCGGGTTGGGCTACTTTGAAAAGTACCCGCAGTCTAGCAATTCGGGGTCGTCGAGCTGTGGTAGTGACTCCGTTTCTGTTTTTTGGGAAGGGAAGGGCTAGAGGAGGTCAAACAAAGCCGAAGACACCAGCAAACAAAACTCCGTATGTGCCTTACGCAGCAGAAACACAACGAACTTTCCCGCCGTTGGTACTGTCCTGTGTTTTAAAGAAAATGTGTTTTGAATTGCATCAAGTATGGACCGAATACACTAATAACGAGAATCCTTTGGGAGAGAGGCCGCAGTCCCTGAAAGTCGAAAGGATAGCAGTTGTAAATTCAGTCGAAAAATAACGTACGTGACACCGGTGGTGCCAAGAGTACTTACGCACCACCAGGTGGCTCGCCCCACTAGGAGAAGCAGGTGGTACTCCTTTTCTCTGAGGTTATGCGTCACCCCCCTAATGTTTCGGCCCGCTTATCCCCTCTGGCCTTTCGACCATACTTGCCTCGTGCTCAAACACCGTGGCGCCGCCATCGAGTATTGGCGGGTCCCAGGCCAGCGCGACCTTGGAATGGCAACAAGACAATCGGAGCGAACAGACGGAGGGTGGATACGCGAGAAACGGAGGGGGAACCTAAAGGATACAGTCTAGATCTTCACCGTACCTTCGATCGGAGGGGTGGTCATACATGGTGAATTCTTGCGAATTGGAAACACCAACGTGCTCATACATGCACGTCCGCTGTTTTTGGCCCCTGACACCAGCAGGGTGAATCGCGACAGCAGCCTCGGATAGCGTGACCTTGCGGAGGGTCGTCCCGAAACAGTGGTGAAGCCATCACTAGACTATATGACAAAACCACCTTCGCAATATCAAAAAGAGCACCTGCATGGTGTAGGGGGAAACACGACCAACGCCTGGACAATGTACATCTCAACGACCACAGAACCCTCCCTCGAATCGCATGCTCGTATGTCGTTTCGCGTGCTTGAGCAAGCAGGGAACATTTTCAATTGTACCTCTTGCAACGGTGGTAGATCAGACTCTTTTTCGTCACGAGGTGAACATGGACACACACGCTTGATGACGGACACATCTCACTATTAGTATCTTTGAATCTCTTCGAAAGGCGCGGCAGCATCATCCGAAAACGGGGCAAGCACTGTTTGGGTTGTGCTGTGTAGTAACGTGCGGACGTTGTCTCGTCGCACCTGGTCGCATGTTCTCCAGATGACCTTCAAGTTGCGTGGTGGCCGTGGAGTCATCTTCACAGCAGCGTTCCTGGCTCGCTCTTCTTTTCCATCCCGGTTTCCTGCGCAAACGAGGGAGAATAGCCACTCCACTCTCAGCAATGCGAGTTACGGTAAAATATATCTGTTGCCGGTGTTGGAAAACGCGGGTCATCCTTGTACCTATCGGTCACCTATATGCAAAATCGAATTGAAGGACCGATACAGTAGGCTGGTGTCCTGGACGTCTCCATGACGCTGACTTGGGCTTGAACCGCCCCTCGACCCTTTCGTACTGACACTTCCGGTTCTTCGACTACTGCCCAATTTTACCATCGGGAAGATCACATATAGCCTTGGAAAAAGCGGCACGCACCTAGCGCTTTGCTTTTCTTCTTGCACGCTTCCTCGTGCTTGGCCATTCTCTCCTTCCGGAACGGTCGCCGGCAGTACTGACAAGGCTTCATGTTCTCGTTCTGCGCGTTGGGTCCCGCTGGGCTGTCTGTGCGCCCCGCCTCCCTGCCGTCGGCATCATCTCCGTCCTCGTCGGGTTGGTCGTCAAGACTTCTCGCGGCATCGATGGCAAGCGGGATACGATTGTGACTCGGGTAAGTCGAGGACGGACAATAGGACGGTTTTGAGATCGGTGGTGGGATACGATTGTGAATCGGGTAACTCATGGAAGGACAATAGAGTGATTTCGAGATGGGCGGCACGCTGTCGTCCGTGCATCTGTCACTGCTGTGGGTAGTTCATCGATCGACAATACCAGAACCGAATCAAGGCTCACCTTTCCACAGCACCGTAGCAGAAGCGCTCGTGTGTGTCGAGCACTTTCTTCAGCACGCTCGCATTGCACTTTGAGCATGTGCTGAATTGCATCGCGTTTGGTCTGGACAGGTCCACCTTAAGGTCGACATCCACCTGCAGTACACGCGTGTCAGCCGATCGTTTTTATTTTCAAGTACACGACGCATTCACGAGAGGTGAGGGACACACCGACCGCACGGGCGTGGTGTCTCGCGGAGAGCTTGATCGGTTGGTCGATGGACAGGTCGATCGGTGATAGTGGACAAAAAACCGCGTGGTGATAATCACACTGGCGTATCGTAAAACATCCTCTCAGATAGCGCTTGCAACAAACTTGACAGTTAAAAACTTCATCTCAACATGATATCAAACACACGAACTCGAGCACCATTTGCGCGAACTCGAGCACCATTTGCGAGCGAGCCCGGTCAATAACCCTACCTTGAACCCTATATACCGGCCAATTGTAGCCCACAAGACGAAATATGAACCCCAGCCCCGGCCCAAACTAGAGGTGCTTGAGTGCGGGCTATCTTTAGTCGTTCCGAACCTGTCGATCGGCCCACGGTCGGGTCGATGCGCCGTGCATGTTCGTGTAGCGCAGTTTTTGCACCCTCGACTCGAGATTTCCCAGCGTATCCAAGTTCTCCTTGCTGTGCCGGGACAGACTGCAAATATCCTCTGACAACACTTGAACCTTGCCGTTGTGTGAGTGGGTCGAAAACCGATGTACCGAGTTAAGAGAGTGCGCAGAACGCGTGGCGTTCGGTTCGTACACAGAAGAAGATTACAGCCAGCCGGAGGTCATCAGTCAGCTCGCTGACAATATTGGGTGGTTTCTTTCGAGTTGGACGTACCTGCCTGGTGTGATACTGCTTCATAAGGTCAAGATGTACGGACCTTTCCTGTGTTTCGTTGAATGAGAAGCAGTGTCAAGTTTATCAGTTTAGCAACAGGTGGAGAACGCAATAAGCATGTTCTCCCAGGTGGACAACTTGATGAACAAGATTTGCATCCCCAACACCCATTCCAGACAAGTCTCTGGAGGCCGAAGGGTATTACGCGTAGTAATTGATCCTGTGAACAACATGTTTGGTCAGCCGGCCCGCTTCATTCTGATCAAGGCGTTGAACTTGACACAAGATATTTCGTCTACTACACACGATCGTTGGAACCCAGAACATCCGCACAATAACATTTGCCAGAACGCGTGCGCTGTGTAATGCATGGCATGCCCGCCACCATCATTTCGAAAGGAATCGACGTTGGCTCTTTGGGCACTCCTTGTGCCACACAGGAAGACATGCTTCGTTTTTTCATTAGTCAAACAGGGTTGTGGCCCTGCTACACACAACTTGTGTGTTTTGTTGTCAAGTTACTCTTCCACAGCAGTGGCCCGTCAAACGTTTTGTTCTTTTGGGTCACAGCATCACAAAGAACGCAGTGTACCTTCTACCTCTCCTATGCACTTACCAAGCGGTCGACGACGAAGTGTTGGCTAGCGCGCTTGAGCAGATCCCTGTTCTCCACTTCCTCCTCGTACACCTTCGCCCGAAGTTGGGCATTGTTTCGCTTGTCCCACTGCATTCACGCGGAGAGGTACATGGTGGTATATTTACTGAATACGCTGACCCCAAAGCTGATGCAAATAACCCAACGAGCATGTAGCTACCAATCCCCAACATTCAGGTCTAGCGCTCCATGATATTGACAAATGTTACCCCCGTAGGTCTTAGACCTTCGTAAAACACACTCCAGTTGTGGACTATGTTTACATCGATGTTACATGTTAGTCTCCTGCGGAGTCATGCCACCTCCTATGCGTATATGCGTATATTTCCTCTCCCTCCATCTGCAGTAATGTAGAACTCGTGATGTATGCCTTGCCCCGCACATTGGCCGCTGTGTGGCACATAGACTAATGAGTACGAGGTGCTTGCAAGCTGGAGCCCGGGCCAACAATAGGGCACTTCAAAGCTGCTTGGTGGCACGATGCGGTTGGAAGGAATCGAAATAATAGCCGCAATGTCCCACCAAAGATCCGCGGGAAGATACCCAATTGCCTACAATCGCAACATGTGGGAGAGTGGAGCAAGTAATGGACCTTGTGTTCATGCCGCGTATCGGTACGCCGACTGCTGCCGTCTATACTGGAACACAGATACATCCGTAGCGACGGACTCGGGCACCTGAAGCGCCCGGAGAGCCGCCGCGTTCCTCGTCTGCTTCCTCTCATCATCCGGCACCGCGGGCGACTCTTCCTTCCCGTGCCGTCGGCGGGCATGGACGCGTTGGCGCAGAAGCCGCGCGCGCCAATGGTCGTCGTCTTGTTGATGTTGATGTTCCGGTTCAGTCATGGTTCCGTATCATAGGTGGCCACGGACGACTGCGGTGGCCCACATTCTCCTCCCGCTGCAATCAGAACAGGTCTCCATGCCTTCGCCCGTTGCTGCTACCCAGTTCATTGATTGTCAAGTAGAGGATGGCATGGTTCATCGATATGTCATGATGTTTGGATTTTGGATATATGTCGAAGGGTTTGGCCGTTTCAAGAAAACGCGTAACCAGGGCGCGTAAAACACCCCCGATCATTCCGCCGCTTTTGTTATCACACGCTCGGAGAGCGAGAGCTCACCGTTCGTCTTCCCTCGTTACAGATTAACCGGTGATCGTTAACTATCTCGGCTAGCCAGCGTGCTCGCTGGTGTCGCAACAGATGGTGGTCAATAAGGTCAGCGATAGCCGGAGGGCAAAGAGCACCTCCGGCTCGCCAGGGGATGGGCTGCCGGCGGTGTCGGCACCGCCCGGGCGGCGCTTGCCCCCTGAGCGGGAGGGTTCTATGGCGCGGTAAGTTCTGCTGCTGTGTCGAACAAGTTGTTTTTCTAGCGTAAAAAAGTTCTTGTTTGCTCTCACCGTCTCCGACATCCTGCTGACCATGGCGGGCTCTCCCCGTATGCCGGGGCCCCGTATGCATTGTGGCTTTTCCTATGCGTTGCAACCTTGGAGAGAGGGGGTGTTGTTGGCGGAGGTTCGCAAGTTGAATGACCGTTCAAACAACCCACGCCCCAAAGTTTGTTCGTCCGTGTGTGTAGGGTGTGTCTCCCGCACCCTGAAGCAACGGTGATGAGTGACAGCCATGCAACGACGCTGGCAGGGTCGAAGCAAGTACGCTTGCCGGGTTTCGGTGCCGTGTCACCCGTAGATGATCACGTTGTCGTGAGAGGGCACGGACAACAACAACACTTGCAGACATGATGTAAGAGTAAGACGACAGCAGAGTTAGGAAATTGCGCTGCGAAAAGGCATCAACGCTATACAAGTAGTTGTAACAGATCTGTCTGCCGCAAGGGGAGAGAGAGCGGGCGGGCAGCAGCAAGATAGAGGAGCAGCGCCGGATGGGGGCACGGGGCGCTGCTGCTGCTGCTGCTGCTGCTGCTGCCACTACTTTGCCAGAGGCTGGCGGCAGTAGAGCAGCTTATTATTGTGGTTTGCTGTTTTCAGAACGAGTGCGCAGGACCACCCCGCCGTCACCGGCCGCCGCTCCTCTCCCGCGCCCCCCCCCGCTCTCAAATTGATCTCCCGTGGTGTGCCTCCCCAATGCTTTCTGCTGAACGCGTTTGCTGCTCTCCCTGCCTTGCAACCCATCGGAATATTCCGTCTGTGTACGCGGACATCATCAACAACAACAACAACAACAACGTCAACGTCAACGTCAACGACAACGAAGGATAAACTCTCGAGCTCAGAAGTTCGCCGATAGCCCGGGGGCAAAGTCGAGCGGCACCACCATGGTGAAGTTTATGTTTTTGGGGGATTCCGAGTGTGGGAAGACCGCGATCGTTACTAGGTGAGGGGTTTAGCGGCCGGTCTTTTCTCGGAATGCATGTCCCTAGGTTTGTATGTCCCTTGACTGCGCGCGCGGGTGCGCAGCAACGGGACAGAGCACTGCTGCTGTTGTCCCGCCGTACACCTGCTTTGAAGTTTGGAACGGAGTACATTTACGTCTTGCAAGCAGTAGTTTAGGAAGAGCTTGATCTTCTGGAATACTCTTTTGTCTGCTCGTTTCTCTTCGTGGGGCGATTGTTCCGCCGCCGGATTTCGGAAGTTGAGGTTATGTTCTGATATTCTATGCATACATGTGGTGAACGCATCCCCTCCACCCTCGAATGTTGATGTCGTGGTCTGTCTCGAACGGGTAGTCTACTGATGGGATGTTTCGTTTGTTTTCGTCCTGTGCATAGACTATGCATATTTATTATGGCGACAGTCCCCCCATTTTTCGTGGTGAGACGTGTACTGTACACGTGTCTCAGTGGAAGGAGTGGGGTGCTACAATTTTTCCATAAGTGAGGACGAATAGTAAGTGCTGTAAGACTCCAGTATCAAGATAAACATGCCAACGGTAACATCGAGCTCCTTGCCGTACCCTTTAAAACCCGGGTATGCCTTCATTTAGTTACTTCTTGTAAACAAATATGATTCATCTTTTAATGCGACACCTCTTCTAGTCACCTACATGTACACGTCTAGCCACCTACAGACTGCTTGGCGACGCAAGCGACACCTTGGCATGAAGCCGTCATCCAACGGAGCACAGCAAGTGTGCTTTCGTTGAGCGACTTCTGCTCCAGTAATTGATCCCTCGCCACCGTGGTGAAATCATGTGTTTGTCAACGGCAGCGTTCCCGGCTTTACGACATGAGAACAGAGAAGTTCAACCGCGCTTTGCTCGCTGACTTCACTGCTGTGTATCGACGGAGCTCACAAGATGTTTCGATCGTTTTCCCCACGCACCCCCTCCACCCAAACCCGCTGGGTGGCTGCGTGTGCCGACTCTCACCACCCTGTCGTACAAACTCAACATTGTGCCCAAATTCGTTTGGTGACGCGACCTTATCGACTCGTCCTATCATTGCTCTCCCATTTAGATCACTGACAAGGACTATTCCTGTTGATAGAATAACCGAGAGAGTGCGTTGATATGGCCACCACGCTTTTGGGGGTGACCTACCGTCCCCGTCGTCGGGGAATAAGGTCGCGCTCAGACAATCCCTCCAGGATACTCTACTGGCGCTTGCGTTTTTGTCACTTGAGTCGTAAGACCACGTGTCCCAACCGTGTACCGTCCCCGTTCCTAACGTAGACACCAACAGCCTGGAGGCGTTATGCTGGTGTCGCTGCCGCCTATGCAGATACCAATTTTCGGCGAGAATCTTTGCTTCCGTCTTTTTTTTTTTTCGCGTTTTTGGTGGGGATATGTGACTACCCTTGAACGTCGTGGGTCGAGTTATCTCGTCACATTTTTATTTTCATGCAATCACAGAAAGACTGCCCGCTTGAGACATACTGTATAACTGCGGCAGTCGAAGGGGATATGTGTCGACGTCTTTATAGCGGTGAGTGCGAGAAAAACAGGCTTGGTACTGGGCTTATTTCGAGTTTCTTTTCAAGCTCTTGTCTCGCGCGCCTTGTCTCGCGCGCCAGACGAACCTTCTGCGGCGGTTTACGGCAAGATACTGGGCTTATTTCGAGGCTCTACTTGAGCTCTTGTCTCACGCGCCAGACGAACCTTCTGCATCGGTTTCCGTCTACCCTCTATTTTCTTGTTTGTGTTTTGTGTTTTGTGGGAATTCACAACCTCCATTTTTACCATATAGATCAAGCGCTCGTTGCCTCGCACTTTTCTCTCACCAGACTATGCCTTCCGCCACCGCCGCCGCTGCTGCCGCTGCCTTGCACCCAGGTTCGCTACGGGCACGTTTGACCCAGTTTACAAGCCCACCATGGACGTGGATTTCACGCAGTCGAACGTCATGGTGGGGGAGCAGCGGCTTCGGGTAGCGTTGTGGCAGGCAAGTCGCGTGTATTGTTTTGATCAAGTGTGTTGTGTCTTCGCCTAGATGCGCAGGATTTCGTTAAGCAAACTTATTTGATGGGGGTTCGAATCGGCGGGATTTCGGGGACTAAATTTAGGGTTTTATAGGGTCTACGTAATCTTGTTTTTCCTGCCGTATGCAGCCGTGAGCATCCCACCTGTCGAAGACACTAATCGACGAGAGCACTGAATAGTCGCTGTTCGGGGTCCGGGCGTACGGAAGTGGCGCAACCAGGCCCTGTACGTGGGTGCGGACAATGGATTGCGTCTCGTACGGCGCCCGCGGGACACCGGAGGCCTTGAATCACACTCTGGACCTGTAGCTGTGTCGGAGGGATACGCTGGAGTAGTCCCCCCCCCCCCTCCTCTTTTTCCAGACTACGGTTGAAGCTCTTCGATTCGTGGTCCACTTGCCTTGTTGTTCGATTTTGAGGGTGGTTTTGCTGATGGATGGTGCTTACTATTCCACTTTCCTTCTTGTTCGATTCAAAGATTGGTGGTACGTGCATGAAGATTGGTGGTACATAGAGGATAGTGTTGCCCACCAACCGTGACTATTGGCCCACGTTCTTCCTCTTCTTGTTCGATTTAGAGGGTGGTGTTGCTGACCGACGGTGACTACCGTATACGACACAAGATAACACACACCCTGGACCGATTTTCAAAGCTCGATTACGCCACGACGAAGAACATGCGTAAACGAAACGATTCATTTTCGGAGAGCTCTCGACAAGGCGGCTTCAACGACGCCGTTTTCGGCGCTGTGACTCTCTCTGCCGTCGAGAAATCGAGCTTTGAAAATCGGTCCAGGGGGTGTGCTATCTTGTGTCATGGTATACGGTATTGGTCCACTTTTCTTCTTGTTCGATTCTTGTTCGATTCAAAGAAGATTGGTGGTAGAGGTTAGTGTTGCCCACCAACGGCGAGGACGTGTTCCACTTTCTTTTGGTTCTGTTCGATTTTAGAGGGTGGTTTTGCTCATCAACGTTGAGTGTATGGTCCGCTCTCCTCTTGTTGTGCGATTTAATGGAGCGGTGGTAGACGATGCTTTCGCTGATCCGCAGTTGATATAATGGTCCTAATCTTCCCGTTCGATTCAGAGGGTGATTTTTTTGCTGACGGACGGTGACTGTTGGTCCGCAACTTTCCTCAGTTTGAGGCTTTGCTGATTGATTGTTGGTCCACTGCTCTCCTCAACCCCCAGGTGTCAGAGAAGAAGGAGGGCAGCCTGGCCACGAACACGTTCAGGGGTCTGCATGGGGCCTTCATCGTGGCAGACATCGCCAGACAGGAGACTTTCCACGGCGTGGCCAAGTTCCGTCAGATCATCGACGAGAAGGTGGGACGGACTGACGGTGCCTGCGTTGTTTGTGTGCGCGTGGAAAAGTCTGTGGTTGACGGTGTCCCTCCCCGGCCTATAATAGGCACTCTCACTCATCCACCTTTGTTTGTAGTTTGTTGTTGTTGTTGTTGCTGCTGTTGCTGTTGTTGCTGTGGTCGTTGTCGTTGTTGTTGTGGATGATGACGATTTGTATTTTGTTAGCGGTGGTGGTGTTGGTAGTGATGGATAGTTTCGGGGGTGTAATTCCACGCACCCATTTCGCCTTGGCAATAGTCTCCCACCCACCTGCCGAAACACCCTCTGATTTCTAACCAAAACCGCCTTGTCCAAACGCTCCCAAATGTATGACCTGCAAACCCTCGATGGCGATCGCGATGGTGGATTACCCGTGTCCCGACTCAACAGCTGGCGGAGGTGGGGGCGGGTAGCTTGCCGGTGGTCCTTCTCGCGAACAAGGTGAGGAAATATACCGTACGTGACACAAGATAACACCCCCCCTCTGAACCGATTTTCAGAGCCCCACTATTGTACCCCAAGACGAATGTATTTAAGCCAAACGATGCGGGCTCGAAGAGACGGTTCCAACGCGCCGGCATTTTCTACAACGCCACTCTGATGGCGTTTTGAAAATCAGTCTAGGGGGTGTGATATCTCACGTCATGTCACGTACGGTGAGAGCATCGGCGGTTCCGGCCTTGGGTGTGCGCGTCTGACCTCCGCTTTTTCAGCCTTCTGGATTGCTCGTTCCGAAACGTTACCCCTATGTAGTAGCCTCCAGAGCGGAAGCCCACCCCGATCATTAGCGAGCGCAATGCGGGTATGGGTCGACAACCCTCCCTCAGGGAGCTTGCTCTCCAATCTCACAACTCTCGATTAAACTTTTGGTCATGCTTCTATAGCGTTGGGGGAGAGGAGTTTCGGTCTTGGTTTCCTAGGGATCTCAGACGAGGAAGGATACGGCAGAGATATCGCGGAGACAATTCGTAGCCTGGCAAACACAAAAAACACCGCCGATTCTCACCGCCCGGCTCGGGATAAACTTTTGGCGTCAAGTGATAGGGGCAGTTGACGTAGGACGGACCTCCCTTGTACCGCATCCCTTTTTCCGGTGGTGGCCATACCGCTGATTCTTGAGTACTTTTCACGGATTCCGGCAGGGTTGGAAATACCCCGACATGGCGGCTTTGCCATTTTTTTTTTTTTTTGTCTTCTCGTACAAGTATGCGCATTGGGCAGATGGTAAGTTGGCGGGCGTGTCGTCTTTGCTAGAATCGGCGGAGACCTGCAACCACGGGTTGGAGACAGGTAGACAGCCAGACAGCGCCGGCACACACTCGCGCCTGGGATAAGGAACTGTTCCACCTCTCTTGACCTTCGCTGCGTCTGCTCCTGTGTGCGCGTGTGCCGTGGCTGCGACAGAGCGATCGCTTGGGGGAGGACGGAGTGTCGTTGAACAAGTCCTCCATGGACAAGCTTTGCAAGAGGCATCGACTTCATGGCTGGTGAGCTAGCTGGCTGGATAGCGATAACCGTTTCGGAACATGTTATTTGACACTGAAATGCAGTTAGTTTTTTGTGTGCCCGTCTTTTTTTTGTTTTTTTGCGGGTTCGTTTCTCGAACCCCTTGAGTGCGTGCACGGTGCGTGTTGTGCCGCATGTGTGCACAGCAGTACATTTTATCGCACTCTCTTATCTAAGAATAACCTGTGTTGGGGTTCAACAGCATAGCATACAGCATACCGATGCTCGAAACGAAGAGCCTGCCTACCTACTTTTCAAACGATCAACACGTCTTCTACCACACGAGCATCCCAGAACGCGTTCCGCGTTAGGTCGTCCTGCCCGAGCGATAATACTTTATCCGTCTGCGCAAAGGTACATTGTAGGTGACCCGGACGTCGCGCACATTATTCATTCATCTCAAGATAACCCCCTCCTCGGTGATGACATTTTGGCTTTTAACACCTGAGTGTGCGTGGTATCTTCCGTCGGCCCTACTGCTTGATCTAGGAGTAAATGCTGTTCCGTAAGAATACTTCTGGCACCGCGCGTGGCATACTGCGTTTGTGGGGGGTGGTTCCTTGCGAGGGGAGGGTGTTACCTTGTGTCATTACAGCCCCCCTCCCCAGCCCCATGCATGTGTGCTATCGTGTGCCCCAAGGGCGTGGGTGTGTTATCTTGTGTCACATTCGGTGATCCCCGTCCTCACCCGTGTTTTGCGTGCTCCCCCAATCCCCTTCGGTGTGTCCATGTGTGGCGGCTCTGCCGGCGTGTGTTGGAGGTGCTCATACGTGGCAGCCTTTATCCTTCGACCGCACATGGCCCTGAGCCTTCCACCTCTCCCCCTCGCCCATTGATGACGCCGATTTTCGCTTTTTTTTTTTTTTTTGTTCCTCCGCCGTTTTCGTTTTTCTCTTTTTCATCGATCACCGCACATCGCACTGAGCCTCCCACCTCTCCCCCGCGGCCATTGATGACGCCGATTTCACACCCTTCGCTTTTTTTCTATCTCTCGCTCTTTTTCATCGCGGTCCAGGTACGCTACCTCTGCGAAAGACAACTCCAACATCGACCTGGCCATCAAGGAGGTGTTGAGGCGGGCGTTGCAGGGAAGCGCAAGGCAAGCAAGAGGGGCCGGGGGGGGGGGGGGGGGTTGCCGTTGCTATGCATACCAAGATTTGCCATTCTTGCGCTGGTGCCGGGTCTCCTTACAGAAGTACACGCGCGCCGCGTCTTGGTTTGTCCGTTGCTGGATCAACACAATTGGCCGCCGGGGGCGGAAACGTCAAGCTCCGGGTGAAGGTTCTCAAATCGTTTACGGTGTGGCGACGGTCGAGCGCATTATTTTTTATTTTCGAAGTATTTTCGAAGTACAGTATCGTTTTAGTGTAGCTGTGTTTCTAATCCCGATTTTCTTGTTTCTCGCGACAACCTGAGCCTGTTTTTCTTATTTAGCTGCGGGCGACAAATGCTGTACAACTACATAGTTTCCGAATTCTTGCGTTACGGGGGGTGACATGGAGGCGGCACGCGACCGAAGTAGGTCGGTGACAGACTACCGCCTACCTGTAGATGACGAATGATATTACACCCCCTGGACAATCGATTACTCCACGAAGAGGATACCACCATCCTTTGGGAAAGCTCACGACGAGACGGTGTTCCAACGCCGCCATTTTAGGCACCACCCCCCTTGATGCTGGGGAGTAATGGAGCTGTGAAATCAGTCCAGGACGTGTGATATCTTCCGTCACCCATGGTAGTGGAAAAAAGGCGGACACCAACCCACAGCATGCGGTGTAGCTCCGTCAAGACCCCCGGTCATAATCATCTCTCCCCCGCGAAGGACCACTTGCCAACGGCAGGCGTACAACCTGCTCTCCTCCAACCCGCCCGCCCGCCCGCCCAAACCAACTTGTTTGACAGGTCTGCGTTTGGTGAGCTGGAGCAGGACGATGTGGATGCCCTGGACGAGGAGTTGACCCAGCTCAACGGGCCAGGGTCCGACAGGGAGCGTTCCCCGGGCCAGCAGATACTGAGAGACCACCAGTGGTTCGGGACGCAGAACGTGTCCACTAAGCAGGGGTGCGCGTGCGTCGTGTCCTGATGGTTGGTGCTTAGGGCCTGATTGCGACTCCCTCCCGGCGATCACCAACGCCCGCCCGCCGCCGCGTCCAGCAGAGAGACCACCAACCCGGCACTCGGCAGCGCAAGGAGGACGCGGGGGGGGGGGGTGGTGTTCTCTTCCTTGTTTTTGTGGGTGTCGATGCGGCGGGGGGGTAAGTGGTGCTCCTGTTGTCGTTGTCGTTGTTGTTGTTGTTGTTGTTGTTGTCTTCGCATTGAAGAGCGTTCTTACCTCTCTGTACCCAGTGCCTTCATCTGTCCGTCCTGATGGAGCACTTGACCAGGCGATTCCCGTGGTCACAGGCTAACTCACCTACAAAAGGTATACTGTACTCGAACAAGATGGACCCGAAGGGTCCGCAAGCCAAATGAAATCAACGACATGTTGCCTGTGGAACAAAGCTTTTTGCTGCGTCTCGTGTTTGGTATTGCCGGGTGGGTTGGCCCGGGCGGTGAGACGGGAGAGGGGCGCTCGACATGCGCGAGTAGTTCTTGTGTCGAGAAGCTTCGCAAGACAACAGCATATGTTCCGCGTGTACGTCCAAGCAGCAGCCCAGTAGCAGTAGAGCCCGCGCGCGAAGAGGTGGATGGTTGGGTTTTGGCTTTTCTGAGCATGGAATCCCAGAAAATAAGTGCGTGGGTGTCTTGGGGGTAAGATACATGGTGGGCTTGACTTTACTTCGTTGCGGTCAGTCGCTGTAAGCGGTGACATGGTTTGGAACCTTATTGGGGAGCAGGGTGTCTTGTTGGCAAGAGACGTTTGGTTGACTTGAAGTTAGCTGTACGCTGCGGCATGAGTTCGACTCTTATCGGGGGGGTAGTTTTTGTTCGCGTTGGCGTTCGTGGTGGTGGTGGGATGTGTTCCCTTTCCCCTCTTTTTTTCTTTCCCAAAACAGGAACGAACGTGCTGGTCTGGTAGGATGGATTTATATGATCGCGGAATGCGTACAACATTCAACGTAAGCTGCTCTAGACGGCGAGCAGGAGGTTCAGTTGATTGTGTCCATTGCGTTTTTTTGTGTCAGTGTTCTACTTGTTTTTGTGCATGAAAAGTAGAACGTATCCTTCTATATTGTAGACGAAAAAGAGCGCGACTGTGTGTGTGTGGAGATGGACGTACCGGGGTGCGATCGCTTTTAGTTTCTGTTCTTGATGTGTTTTTTTCACGTCCCGGTGTTCGTGCATATGACCCCGGTCGGTGAGAGCGAAACCCACCATGATACCGCGGGCTCGAACATTAACATCGAACTATTTCGCGCTAGTTTCTCCATAATAGTCCCCGGCGGGATGTACCTCCGATAGGTGCGATACCGCATAGTACACCGCGGTCTTACAACTGATGGTACGGTTTTTGTACCATAACAGCTTGGGGTCGGTTGCCCCCCAAAGCTCATCTCAAGCCCTAGGCGTACCCTTTTTGGGGTAGTTGGGGCTTGGGCCCACGGAGGGCATTCGCGTCAGGTGGACCAGTACACGCATGTTGACAAAAAAGATAGGTACTTTTTAGCGAAAACCGGAACCAACGGCGGTCGTGAAGGTGAAGAGAACAACAACCATCAATCCTTTTTCGAGACTTGTTGTTTTCCAGCATTACGAAAACAGGCAGATAGACGCGCGACCTTTCTTTTTACACGCACGCGACCGCACCCTCCCAGAAAAAACACCGAACGAAGCATGCCACACATCATCAGCGCGTTATGTGTTCCTGAGGATATTTCTTGAAGACTGGCACTCTCCCTCGGACTGCACATTGCGAGGGCACGGCGAACAAACGCGGTCCAACTCTGTTGCTGCTACTGGTAATACCATCACGCGGGTTGTTGCCCGCACACACACCCCGCATGGCGTCGGTCGCCCCAAAATCTCTTGTCGCACCAAGCCAACTAGGGCCGGGCCACGCTTGTTAACAGTGGAGGGGCGCGATTAAACACTACTATGCATACGGCTGTGACGAAAAACAAAAGACGAAATACCGACCACAGCGCAGCAAATATTATACTTCTCATTTGCTCGTTTTCACTGAACCATTACCACCACATGCTGACCCTCCATCCGGTGCACATTTTACACTTTTCAATAATCAGCCGTGTGTTTTGTACGCCTTGAGGGTTAACTCCGGGGGAAGGGGGCCCGTGTCTGCGGAGTGGATGACCCCCCCACCATTTTCGTCCAGCCGTCTGTTACTACTGAGTGTCGTCGTCGTCGCAACTTTTTTTTTTTTCTGTCTCAAACGCTAATCCCTCGTGGTCATTTTCTGCCTCGTGCCCCCCCCCCCCCCCCCCCCCTGCGAATTAAAGGCCATCCCGCAAGGGTCAAAATTTACATTTGAAAAATCCTGGCCAGTCTCCCCCAACTCCCCCACTCAGGAAAACGAAAAAACCAAACAGCCCCCCTCGTTTTCAGCAAAACCTCCCGATGGAAAAGACAAAATACCCAGATATATACGTCCACCCTGCGCCAAAACCCTGCCCCATGTCCGCCGCCCGTTCTCCCCCTGCTGTATGTACAAAGTTGTGTGCCCCAACGCGCGGGGGGCATTCGTTCTCAACCGCAGCCGAAAAAGAGAACAAAACAACACCCTCGTCAAGACGAAAGCCTCGTCTGTCGTCAGCGTAGCAACACCATACAACCTTACCACCATTAATGACCGGAACAGATACACGCATCCGAAATATACGCACAAAAAAAAAAAAAAAGAGTATCGCCAGCCGTTCGCGACCAACCAAACCACAACCCACACCCAAAAACAAAAAAACTCAATTTTCGCACAACATCTTCACTTGGGGCCGTCACAACGTATCCTCCATTGAATAAAAACAACGGCAGCTAAGCCGGGGGCCCAAAATGACCGGCACATTTTTTCATTGACCGCTTTTTTTTTTCTTCTCTCTCCCCTAGGGCTGTTGATTTCTCTCTTTTGTACAGTCAACAGCCTCGATTCGTGGTCTCCGCCCCCTGCTTTGGATGACGTATTTTCGCTACCCCGCTTCCTCGTCGAAAAAACACATTCTTGCGCAAGCGTCTTTAGGGACGAGCGCTTTGGGCGCGGGCGAACGCTCTGCATGCGTGCCGACGCCTTAATTCGGCGTGCTACTGGAAGCGCCATCCCGGTTTCGCCTTCTTTCCTCCTTCAACCCGAAACTCTTCTCAAGAACAAAGGCCATCGAATTAGACGCTACTCGCAGCATCATCTCAACAAGTAAAATCACGACGTCCCCTGGTTAGTGCACACTCCACAGGCTCAACGACCGGGTGCTCATGACAAATTAATCCCTAATTTAGCCTTTGGGCGAGAGAAGGGGGCGGCGAAAGGAGAACAAGATTGGCTCCGTCATGACAGAAACAAAAAGGCCCACCAACTGCTCCCATGGCGGCCGCGCAAGGGAATGCGGCAACGTTACACAAGGACGAAATCTCGATCGAAAGAGCGACAAGCAGCTCCCAACACGCCTCTTTCCCAGCAGCGGTTATCCGCAACACAACAGCCGCCATGAGCCGCGGTACACCATTCTTCACGGGGTTTGCCGTCCCATCGACATAATACCACCACCGATTCCGCGGGTTTCTCCCTCGCGATCACCCATGGCACATCAACCTTCTTGGCGGGTTTTTCCGTCCCATCAACACAAGACCGCCACCGATTCCGCGGGTTTCTTCCTCGCGCCCTCCCCCCCCCCCCCTCCTCCAAGCCACGGGGTGCCAGCCGCCGTCCCTCCTCCAC